GGGCCAGTGTGCACTTACACTGGCTTCTTTTTTCCTTTTTCCAAAAATGGAAAATATTGCCTCTAAGAAAAAAATAAAAAAATTCATTCCTCAACCCCTCAGAAACTGACTCCATGTTGAAAAAAAGCACCAAGCTGTAGCCATTGTGTCCTTAAGCAACAATATTTTGTTAACTGCTTACTTTTAACAGCCTTATCGTTGTTGGAAGTATATTACATTTCCAGCTGGGGTCCGATCTTTGAGAGGGAGTTAAAAAAACAAAACAAAAGGAGTCGTGACTCTGGTTTTAAGAGGACTATTTTTTAGAGCAAACTCAGCGTCTTGACTATTTTTAGTAAACTGCATGATTTTTTTTACAATCTTTACTAAAGGCTGGGACGGGGGGAGATCTACCGACACCAGGGGCTGTCTCTTCTGACATGCTCCCCTTGCCTTCAATCAAAGGAGAAGACCGAGAGTCAAATCAAGAGGGATGTTCAAACTCTGGGTCAGTGTGTGTAACTTCACTGACGTCGAGCGAAGCGAGTCTCTAAACACTGCCATTTCCTGGGAGGCGACTTCTGTAGAGCCCCTCCCTTCATGCACACTCCCACTTGCTAGTGGTTGTAGCTTTGGTTTATTGGGAACAATGTCTTTGGCTGCACTGGTGCCCTGAATCGCAGTCTTTGCTTTGCGTTGCCTTCTCACAGTGACAATAGAGCTAGCCATGTTTTACTGCCAATTTTAACTTTTATGTGGCTGCTGTTTTTGCACTGGATGTCTTTGAACTAGCTTGTTGACTTCTTTAGCTGGGGATTTTTTGGACAGTTGTTGGCTTGCTTTACTTCAGAACACCTGCAGGCGGAGCTTAAGCACTGCCTGCTCGATTGACTTTAAAAAAAAAAAAAAGACAAAAACTTTGATGACAAATCAGCCAACAGCAGTTACACCTGTTTCGTTTTTTTGTTGGCGCAGGACTACACCAAGAGAGCGCGAGATAACCGTACAGTTAATGGTCTGCGTAGGCTATTATTAGTCCATCATGTCCTTTACTACGGGTCCAATAAGGAGAGGAATACGTTTTAATCCATGAAAACCATGAAGTCTCTTAACTTGGAGGAACCTCTTGCATATACTCGATGCTAGCTTCAGGAGGACTTTCTAAATGTTTTCAATGTTATTGTGTAGTTGATAGCACTATTATGAAAAAGCTACTTGTCATTCCATATGAGTCTCTGAGGACTGCTTTGTGTATCACTGTGACTGCCGTGTGTGCTTAGAGATGTAGACTTATCAGTAGGTAGCCAAACCAGTTTGTTCTGTAGTGATGTCGTAGCGTTTAATGCCATTTTCCCTTCTACACGCAGAGAAAGAGAGAGCACGTGGCGCCTCCTGGAAGCACACGGCGACTTTTTAAAAAAATAAGATGTTAAAATCTAGCGCGAGCGGGTCGCTTCACACAGCATTTTGTTGAGCACTGTGCAATACTTGTATGTTCATCCCATAGTGTTGGCGTGGGTGGCATTGCCTGAAGATGTAAAGATTCTAACTTTCGAGGATGAACCGGTCCAGAGAGACGTTTCTCGGTTAGGACACAGCACACGTAGATTCAGCGCACAGGTTGGAGCTTGACCACCTGTTGACCTCCGTTTAGGGTTCCCTCCCTTTTTTTCACTGGTTAGTTTTTTCTTCTTGCACACAGTTCCAGCATCAGGAGTTTCAGGGAGTTGTAGTTTAAAACCAATCTAGACTCTACAGCGAATTATCCCCTTACTTTGCCATGTATATATTTACATACCGGTGTCGAAAATGTATATCTAGAATTAAATATAAAGTGACATGAATATGATTATTCAGACACAAATATATCATATCTATCTTACATATGATTTTATTTTCATTATGGATTTTTTTATTTATAAACTGCCCTGTCGATTCAAAATCTCCTTTTATATTTGAGATGAAAACTCTGAATGTACAGTATGGACTGTGTTGGTGTAGATTACTTAATCGTGAGATTAGATGTACTTTGCACTTTCTGTTGTACAAATAAAATGTTAGTTTTTCTTAATTTATAATCACAAGACTTTATTTTCAACCCTTTGGGGTAAACCTCCCCTGTCAGATAGCGTTTAAACATCACTGAATATACTGAGATACAGCTGAATACCCTGTCCCTTTTCAACCAGGAGATTCTTTTGACATGTTTTACATCAGTAGATCAATGAACTCCAGTACAGCTTCAGATCTAATGGATTTCAAAAAGGCTCTGAAAAAGTGGCCTGAAAATTATTAATTAATGTAAAAAGGTTGTACAAAAGGAATTATCTGATCAAAGCTGGACACATTTATGATATTAAAGTGAATCAGGGAATTTAGTGACAGGTAGTGCTGCATACTGCGAGGTGTGTGGAAACTCTACAAAGCAAAAGCCATAACCTGCGCAGCATGCACTGCTCCTTTTATTGCGGTTTCCCGCTGAAGTGCGGATAAATAACCCGAATCCTAAATTCTCCTCTTGTAAAAAATGGTTCTCGAGCTCTCTGTGTGACAAGATTTCCCTGACGAAAAGCCACACTGACCTTTCCAAAAAAAGCTGTGTAAAGTATTAGAATCTGATGCTGTAGAAAGATCCTAGTTGCCTTTGTGTATATCAACTGCCTGCTTGAGTATTTTGTGTGTGGAAATTTTCTCTGTAATCTTGTAGAACTGTTTGGGGTGTTTTTTCCTGCCATATTGCTCGCGCTGACGGCGAGCCGCTGACAGTTATATTTGCTGTGTATACCTTCATTTTTGACGAGGTGTTTTACAGTTTTGTTTCACTTTGTGTAGTGATTCACTCTGTGGAGTTTTCTGACTGTTGTTATATAACTTCATATACACAAATGATCAATAAAAATGTTTTATTTCCTGTTGATACAGAAACCTATCATGTCATTTGTTCAACTGTTGTTCCGGTTTTAGTCACTCAGATTACAAATTCGGCTTTTATTACTATCACTGCGATGTGAGTACAGTACCCATGATGACTCACTGCCTGAAACCCCCATCACATCCAAAAGAAAAGAGCCTGAGTGCATACAAAATCTAATTATTATGGCGATGTTTGCTCTGAATGGGCTTTGCATCATGACTGACCTGTTAACCAGGCCTATACTGCCATCTACAGGACAAAAAAGGATAGCATTCACAATATACAAGAAGAGTTTGCCTTTAAGATATATGGAGTTGCTGAAAGTGAATTTGTAGAGGGGTGCTGTCTGTGGGTCAGGCTTCCACTATAAAAAAGTAACACCCACATCATGAGTGGAATACTTAAGATTTGCTGAAAGGTTGCCAATGTTTTATTCTAGGGGAGGTGGTGGGATTGGGAACCAAATGAGAGACTTTGACTCAGTGGTCTGGAGGGAGTTTTGAGACTTCAGATGTTTAATGTCAGAAAGGTGGGCCTTAGTATGGGAAAGTTCACCATAGCTGGTGGGATGTACAGTTGGTAATTGTTGGTACAAAAGTGACAGTTAACATTGTGATTCTAAATGATTTGACCTACAGTAGCATGTATATGGAAAATGACAGTGGACCAAGAACCAAGCCCTGGGGAACACCGCTTGTGAAGGGAGCAGGGATGGAAAACAGTATTTTGAAGACAGAAAAACACAGTTAAAATGAATGACTGGTCCTTAAGAAAACATAGCTTTTTAGTCTTTTATGGTCACAATCACTGCCTCATTTATACATATATATAAATAAAAAGACTGAAAACTGGAAAACTGGAGGTGGTTTTGGACTGTTTTCCAATATTAAGGCACCTGAGGGCATTTATACAGATTTATGTACTACAGAAACATCTGAGAGGACACTTCCAATGTTTCTTTTTAAGATAGACTATTAGGCAGCAGGGAAATAAAGGGACATTGTTTTGGCAACAATTGGGATACAAGTATTGACCATCTGACATGAAGTCAAAATATCAGCAGAAGTTTAATCGAAGGAAACATGTAGGTCCGTTCGGCTTCTGTAGATTAAAACCGTTCAAACTGCGGACTTTTAACTAAAATGTTACTGAATAAACTTTTAATAATGATGGATCTAGTTGTATTAAAAGGTTTGTTGTGAAAGTTCAGAATGCGGAAGTGACGTTAAATCTTGATGTTCGTCAAGTTCGCTAGCGGCAGCCATAACGATAACGGACTTTACAAAGTGGCGGTTAGACACGAAAACAGTCACCGAGGTTTTTCAGGCCGGAATATAACTAATCCAAAAATGATCATTTATGAAAAAGAAAGAAAGGTGTTTTGGCAACAGTTCTCGTAAAACTTTTGATGCAGGGATCCGGGTAAATAACAAAGCAAGAGGACACTAAATATAGCAGAAAAATAAAATACAAAAATATTGACTTTGCAGTTATTTATTCTTTTTTAAATTTTATTTTGATTAACTTTATATCAATTAAAAATCATCATTTGAAAATGCTTTTTTTTTTGCATTAAGAAAATGCATTTTTTTTATTACATTTCTTTTTTTTTTTTAACCTATTTTATGTTTTTATTTTGGTCCTCATGGTCTCATTTTATGTTGTAGGATTCTTGTATTGTCTGGGTCTCAGATGACAAATGAAATTGCCCTCCAACTGGAGGCCTTATTTTAAACCGAGCTTTTGTTTTTTATTTGTTTTTATTTCCATGTGCAAATGATCTGTGCTTTATCACTGTTTGTCAAAACACTTTGTAAACTTCTATTTTTAAAAGTGCTCTTGAAAATTAAGTTATTATTATTATTATTATTATTATTATTATAAAAAATGGCTTATATTTCTATGCTTTAGAGATGAACAAAAGGGGGAAACTTCTACAGTTTTACCACTGTGTAAGTATCAAAAATGGACTATCATCCGTTAGATGAACAAATTGAAAATTCTTTTTATTTTACCCATCTGTATAACTGGTTTGATGGGTATATTTCCAAAAAAAAAAAAATACTCATTTTTATTTTGAAAGGCTTGACCGGAAGTATATATCTCCGCTCTCCAACTTGACGGTCTTTGCCTGACAGCTCGCTCCACCGTCACGGTTGCAGACAGTAAACTCATCTGGCGCTGCTTTCTGCAGTCACTGACGACCTTGCAGCTGACTGAACTGATCGAAAATGCTCTCCTACATCGTCGGTGTAAGTATATCTCAAAGAGAACATGTCAGACTTCTTTAATATCCGCTAATTCCTTTGCGTTAGCTGCAGCTAACATTAGCCCTTCAGTGAGTTTTCCTTATGAAGTGGGTCTCAGTCAGGCCTGCCCACAGGAATGGCCGTGACTCATTTCTTCTGTTGTGGATTAAACTAAACGACCTTAGTTAGACAACGCCCAACAGAGGGGTTGGAAAGCTGCTTTGTAGCTAATGCTAACTTCATCTGATTAAGTCAGCCTAATGCTTTTGTTTTTGTTTTATCCCAGCTGATCAGAGGAGGCTTTGACAGCATCATCAACCTGATCTTCAGACTTTTATTCCGAAAGAGGAGACCTGCCATCACCTTAGAGGACCCCAACATCAAGTATGCTCTGCGACTGCTGGACAAAGAGGTATGAAACATCCAAACAGGGTTATAGTTTTGCACAAAGACAGGAGTGAAGATAGAAGGTCTGCAGGATAAAAGAATAATCTGATGTTGCTGCACATGCAAGTGTGGCCATTATCTCCAGGTCAACCAGCAGGTAGAAGTTTCACTGCCAAAAACTGAGGCTATTGCCATGTCTGTGTTGCAAATGCAGCAATCGATTTTGAGTTGATATTAGACATGTTTACAGGTGCAGCTCGAAGAATGTGGAACTCATGTTTGATATTTATTCACTCAATAATCTGGATATTTCATTTTGAGTTGAAGTTGATCACTAATCAAACAGAACAAACACTGTGTGTCTGTTGGTCTACAACTATATCAAAACATGCAACCGTTATCATTGGGAAGACATCTGGCTTGATATTCGTCCAGATCCTTGACATTTAAACCCCCCTCCCCGAGGAGAGTAAGCCACTGAAGGTCAGTGCTGAAAAGGCTGGCTGTTCACAGAGTGCTGTAGTGGAGTATATTAATGGGAAGTTATCTGAAGTTATCCGAAAATGGCATTAAACGCTTCGACATCACTACTAAACAAACTGGTGTGGCTACGTACTGATAAATCATCTCTAAGCACATGGCAGTCACAGTGATACACGAAGCAGTCCTCAGAGACTCATATGGAAAGACAAGTAGTTTTTTCATAAAAGGTGATCAAGTAACAGGGGTGAGCTGTGAGTGGATTATCAAGAAAAGTTGATTCAAGATGTCAGGAAGCATAGTAGTGGATAGAGACTGGTGACAGAGTATTAAGAGCAACTACACTGTGAATTCTCAGGAAAGAGGCTACAAGTGTTGAATGCCCGATATTAAAACACCCCTAAAGACGGTATCAGAAACATCATTTGGAAATCAAGTCTCTGAGGACTCAGCATCTCCACTCACTGACAAGGTTGGTGGAGATGCTGATTTCCTCTTCCAGCAGGAGTTTGCACCTGCCCACAGCGCCAAAACTTCTACCAAGTGGTTTGCTCACCATGGTATCGCTGTGCAAACTCATCTGATCTGAATCCAACTGAGAATTCGTGAGATATTTGACAAGAGGGAGGTGAGAAAAACATGACACAAAAATACAGACCAGCTGGAAGCTGTTTTTAAAACAACCTGTGCCTCACCTCAGTGATGCTGAATACTGCAGGTCAAAAAAGGCTTTTGATTTTCCACTCAAGATCCATGGATAGAGATATATGAAAGTTTGTTTTTTACCTGTGTAGTCAAAAAACTAATGGGGACTTTTTCATGATAATCAAATATTTTGAGCTGCACTTGAATAGTTTGAAATACCAGGATGTCAGGTGACTAAAAATATTTGAATTATTGCTCTGTATTCAAAACTATCCCTTACTTTCTGTCCAACTGCTTGTTTACAGGTGCCTCTATATCTATAAGATGTAAACAATTTTCAAGTCAGTCAAGCAAGTCTCACTGAAGCCTATAGAGGAGATTATATTCCTCGAGTATTTAAGAATTGGTATCTTTAGGTATTTTCAGCTCTGACCGTCTCTTCTGTGTTTTTTCATGTTCAGATTGTCAGCCATGACACAAGAAGGTTTCGCTTCGCTCTGCCCTCCCCTGACCACGTTCTGGGTCTCCCCATTGGTTAGTAAATTCATTTTAAGACTCTTCTGTTTTATTGTAGTTTAGAAATGAACTTTCTTTTTCTTATATGAACTTCCTTAAAGAATAAAGATGGGAATAATGTGAAGGATCAGGTTTGGTGTTTGTTATTAAGTGTTTGTTCAACTCTGGCTGAGAGGAATGAGGGCATGACTGCACATATTTGAGTTTTTGAGTTGCAGTTCACAGTGGCCGTAAAAACACACCTAGTAAATGTAATGAAGAGTTTAATGTTCAGTTTTATCACCTTTAAAAATACATATTTACAGAGTCCAGAACATGTGCATCAGCAAACTTTAGTGACATACTATAGTGTTCAAGGACAAGAGTAAAGCTCAAAGTGAGGGCGTTCAAGGTCATTCAAACACATCAAATAAAACTTATAAAGATCTCTCAGTACAACATAGTTATCTGAAAAATCATCTGTAAATTGAGAACCCAGTGACATGGGTACCAGCTGAATTTAGTAAGAATATCATGATGATTAAAAGCACAGCATTTCAGATAGTCATAGTACTCAGTTGGTGAGTTGACGGTCATAAATAAACTCAATAAAACAAAAAAAGATCAAAGTACGAATGGTTATCTGAGATATCATTTGTAGATTGAAACCCTGGACATGAGTACCAGTAAAATGACTAATATCATGCCAATAAATATAAGTACAACACTATTGAAAGCCACAGCTCACACTGGGTGACACATGAGTCATAAATAAACGCCTAATTAAGAGGGTTCAATGCAGTATGAATTTCTGAAAAATCATATGTATATTGAGAACCCTGGACAGAAGTTCAAGCAAAACTAAGTAATATTATGTCAGTAGTTAGAAGTACAGCATTACCTGGAGGGGTCTTAAGTTCCACCTAATAACATTAATTAAGAGGTCTAAGTACGGTCTGAATATTTGGAAAAATCATGTGTAGATTAAGAACCCTGAAAAAGTGCAAAAAACTCGATCAGGCAAATGAACCAAAGTAAAGCATTATTTAAAGCAATATTTCATAATGGGTGTGTCATAAAAACACATGCGTTAAAAACATTTTATAGTTTGAGAACCCTGATGTTAACAGTTATAATTTAATAATATGAAGCTAGTGAATGAAAGTAAGGCCTTACTGAAATGAGCATGACAAATGTGAAGTTTACAGATTACAACAACAGGAAAATTGACATTTTTGAAAGTGGACATTTTTGAAAACTGAAAACTAGGGTCACAAATAACTCTTATTTTTCATAACTTAAAAAATCTCTGCATCAGTTTCTTCACTGCTCAGTGTAGCGCCTTCAAGTGTTTTAACAGCCTTTTAACCCAAAAACCCAGATATTAATTTAAATTAGAAAAATAGAGTGAGTAACTTCTCAAGCTTCAGATTAATGTCTTCATGTTTTTTTTTTTTTTCTCCAGGGCAGCATATTTATTTGTCTGCAAAAGTAGACGGGAAGCTTGTTGTCCGTCCGTACACTCCTGTCTCCAGCGATGATGACAAAGGCTACGTGGACCTGGTGGTGAAGGTATAATAGACCGAAATATTTCCCTGGATTTCCCTTAGTAGAGAGTTGTATCATTCTAAACCACTGTCCTGTCGTTTGTTGTTTTTTGTTTACAGATTTACTTCAAAAATGTTCATCCTAAATTCCCTGAAGGCGGGAAAATGAGTCAGTACCTGGAGAGCCTGAGGATCAACGACACTATCGACTTCAGAGGACCCAGTGGGCTTCTTGTTTACAAAGGCAAAGGTCAGATATATAACTTCCTGTCCGAGCAGAATAAGTAGAAGGATTAGAGGGTTTAAATCCCCTCTGGTACACAAACAGCTTCTGATGGTGTTTGTTCCTCCTTACTTTAGGTGTTTTTGCCATTCAGCCTGAGAAAAAGGCTCCAGCTGAGACCAAGACAGCCAAACATGTGGGCATGATCGCTGGAGGGACAGGTAAGAGGAACATCTTCTTCTTCACCCATGAAAACTAACTGATTTTCATTAAAAATCAACACAACAAGAAAAAGTACTGCCTCAGTTTAAGTCAAAATATTTTTACACGCAGATGAAAAAGTGAGAAAACCATCTGCTCAAACTTTAATTTCTTCATCCAGTTACATGGTTTTCTCCGTCAGTCTCAGCTGTCATGTTAAACCCTGTGTTGTCTCTTGCTGTGAAGTGGGAGGGGCTTTGCTGTGTTGTTTGGTTACTGTCAAACATATCTGATCTAACACACACACACACACACACACACAGAGTCTACATGAAGATTAGCTGAGTTGGAGGGTTACAGATGTCTATAACTTGGTGCATAAATTGCGTGTTTTATGCACACCTATAAATCAGCATGCTTGCGTCTTATTTTTGTTTTTGTATGTTTGTTTGATATTATCAGTGTTTGTGTGTTAGTATGCATGTGTATTTGTGTGTTTTTAAGTATGCATGTTTGTGAGGAGAAGTTTAAGTTTGCTACATGAGTGTGCACCTATGTTTGTAATCTGGACGTGTTTATGCATGTGCAGAGTGTATGACTAAAGTATTTATTTCACATAAAGCTCAGTGTGTAGTCTGCTGTTTAATCGCGCAGAAGTTGCATTTATCAGGATGTGGTTTCGTTCATATTTAGGTCAGTATCAGGTGCAGAATTTAAGGGTTAATCTTGATTGGTTAATTGCAGAAAACTTAAAGTGATAACAGCTTAGTCATGACAGTACATGTATGTAGTAGATATGTATTTGATTCCAAGAGTTGAAAGCATTTTTGTATTTTTAAACTTCTCCAATTTGAAATCACACATGACATGACTTCCCTTATCCAGTGGCTATAAAAAGTGGAAGAGAGTCTTTCCATTTCATACAAAATTAGTCTCCTGGCTAAAAGAGATCCACATGCTAACATACTGGGGGGGTGTTAGTATTTTTAAAGCTACTGTAAGGAATTTTTGAGTTGTTCTGAAAAAGAAAAAAATTTGCAGTGATGTCTTTTTGCGCCCTTAAGTCCTCCCAAGCATGTTTTTTTTTCTATGATAGAGTTTAGTTTGCAAATGTTTTAAATTATTAACCTTTGTGTTACTCATTAGTGTGAACGTTTGATAGGAGTTGCCAAGTCATGATTATCACACAAATATTTGCACAAGGACTGTTTTTTAATGACAGGATCATTTAAAGCAGCCCACACCAAGTCACAACCTGGATATAAAACAGGAACGGTGTTTAAAATGTGACCCATGAACGAACAAGCTTGTGTCTCCCTCCAGGAATCACCCCCATGTTGCAGCTGATCACGGCGGTGATGAAGGATCCTCAGGACACGACGGTGTGTTACCTGCTGTTTGCCAACCAGGTCAGTTTGAACAGCTGGGATCGAGTTCTGTTTGTTTGTCTGTGTTTAACTGAGTAAAGGTGGATTATATCATAGCAGAGGTGACATTCAAACTTTCTTCTTCCTGCTCCGTCACAGACTGAGAAAGACATCCTGTTGAGACCAGAACTGGAGGAGATTCAGGCCAATCACCCCGACCGGTTTAAGCTGTGGTTCACCGTGGATAGAGCACCTGCTGGTATGGCTCCTCACTACACTTGACACTGTTTATTTATTAAGCCACAAATATGATCTGGAATATATCAGGAAATGGTCTTAAAAGTGTGCAACAAGTTCTAAGGACTCTGAAGGACTCTGAAGGACTCTGAAGGACTCTCCCAGTTTGATCTTTAACATTCACCCGTTTTTAAATATGTCGTTATTGATCAGTTTTTGTCAGGAAGGAGTCTTAGATGCTTGTTTGATACTGAAGCTCTGTGGTGTCTGTGGAGCATAATGAGCTGTCTCTGCAGAAACTCTGTGGCTTCAGTTGGTCATGTGACTGATAAGACATGAGGCCACATGTGGTGAAGGCTGATGTGGAAAGTCCTGGTCAGTCATGTAAACCCTATACTTACAAATTTGACCTCATTGGTCAAAAACATCATATTATAATAAGGACTTCTACAGATAAAAACAAACCTGAACAAAGACAAAATAATTCGTACTGAGAGGAGGTTTAAGAGTTAAAACTTGACGAATAGAGGATTATTCTTATCGGTCATCATAGGAGCTTCTTGTCCTTTGAAGGCCACCATCACTTGTTGAGCTTCACCAACAGCAGGAATGAGCAAAGGGGGTGTTTGAACCAAGTGTCCAGCTGTTAGATATCAATAAATATTTACTTTCTACTCACAGTACCTTTAAGAAATACAGAAGTAAGTTGATATTGAGCATATAAAAAGGATCCTTCTAAAAAACTCCAGTATTAGAAACATAATGTAAGGGACCGTCAATAAATTACCGGTTGATGTTCTCAGAAAAGGCTGCTTTCCTTCAATAGCTTCCATGTCATGTGACCAATTGACCTAAAATTGATTTCAAATAATAGTGCTTATGTCAACCATAGGAGACAAAAATTATTTGATCAATTTTCCTTGTGCCCCTAAAGTTCTGTGTGTGCTCCGTGCCCCTTGTGAAAAAGTTAGTGTCAAGCCCTGAGATGATAATCGGTCTTTTCTTAATCTTCAGATTTTAAAAAAACAGATCAACCTGTAATTTAATGCTCATTCCTTAAATGTTACTGAACTACTTATACCCTGGGATTACAGCTGAACGCATATCAACACTTTGCTAACTCTCAGAAAAGCTAAAATCGGGTCTCGATAAACTATCTTACCCTGAGTTGTTTGAATACACTGGAGTGTTTTTGTGTTTCAGACTGGGAGTACAGCCAAGGCTTCATCAATGAAGACATGGTGAAGGAACACCTTCCTCCCCCTGGCGACGACACCCTTATCCTCATGTGTGGACCTCCTCCCATGATCCAGTTCGCCTGCAACCCAAACCTGGACAAAGTGGGACACTCAGCTGGTAGAAGGTTCGCCTTCTAGACGTTAGCTCACTCCAAAGAACCGAGGTTTGGGATTATGAGGCGTTCAGTTCGTATTTACTCTGCCCTGAAACAATTGCAGCACTCGTACAGTCGTGGTGGGTTTTGCACTATGTATACTACTTTATTTATGCCATGATGTTTATCATGCAGCAGAATCACAGCAAGGACCAATTCATGTCGTCAGGAGGTGTAGCAGAGGGAGGGAGCGAGGTGGAGGAGGTTTGAGGCATTAAGAGGATGTTTGGGATGCAGAAGGAAAAGTTGTGTTCAGGTTGTCGGCGCTAAACATGGATGTGATTCAGAATATGTTGCAAACAGACCCTGCTGTCCTGCTGAGGCCTCAGTTTGGGTTTCATATCAGAGGAGCTGAGGTTCCCTGGCTGTTTTCTGAGTGCCTTAACACATGCAAAGCTTTTTTATGCACAGGCAAAGAATAAAAATTGTGACCACTAGCTTTCATATTGAACAAAATTGTATTATTCCATAACTGCTGTTGAGTATTTGTAAGAGACACCTGCCCTTTATCTGTAGTCGAGTCAGAGATGTTGGTATTTTGTTAGAGATGGTTTATAGGTGTAATGTGGTTGTTCATGAGGGTGTTCGCTGCAAGTGTGTGTTCAGTTATGCAACATAAAATTGACTGCTTTTGATCCTGATGTTTTTAGTACCAGTTTGTTACATTTGCTCAAAGATCAGTCTGCAGTCTTTAAACTAGGGATGCACGATGTGGATTATTGCTGATATACAATATGCCGATATTTTCAGACTGATACTGATATATGCCGATATAAACACAAAGTACAGAATGCAAAATTTCTTCAGGCTGTGATTGCATGCACATTATTAATGCATCACCTTTTCCAATATCCAACTTTTTCAGCTATTATCTGGTGATATAAATTGTGCTGACATCGTGCACCCCTACTTTAAACCAACCTCATAAACTGTTGTAGCATCTTCTGAGTCCTAAAAAGACTGAAAAAAAATAATAAATGCATTTTTTCCTTTTATTACAAAAAATGAAAAACATTGACTTTGGTTTCTTCATTTATGTTGTTTCTCAAAGAAATACCTCAAAATTTTCAGAAAATTCATAGTTAAATCAGAGTTTAGAAGTCATGTCTGCAAAGTACAGCGCTGAAGCCAGGAGTTCGTTAATTTAGCATAAAGACTATGAGCAGAGAGAAAAGCTTAGCCTGGCAGCCCCTCTTCAGCTCACCAGTAACACTTCTGATTTGTTTAATCCATCGAATAAAAAGGAAAAGAAAAGTGGTAATTGTGGTTTTAGGAGATTTTGTGCTGAAGTGAGGAGCTTTGGGATTAATCAGAAGTGATATATGTTAATTATTGAGCTTTAAAGAGAGACAGGCTAACTTTTCCCCTGTATTTCAAGTGTTTATGCTCAGCTAATCAGTGCCTGGCTTCAAACTGAAACATTTTCTTACTTTTTTAAGTTTCAGGGATCTCAAAACTCAGACGAATCCCACCAAAAAATAAAAATCTGCATCAGGAAACCTTTAAAAGTCAAGGAGGAGTTTCCTCTAGTTTCACGTACCACAAATAAAACTCCATCTGGCTGCAACTGAGGAACTCAAACTCCTTCATATAACACTTGTATGAATACCTCAATGATTACCTAAAAGAAAACACAAATGGCTGAATACTAAAACAAATGCAGAAGGAGGTACATGTATGTCTGTATTAAAATCCTGCATTTTCTGTTCATGCATTATGATTTTTGGCAGCTTCAATAAATATATGTGGTCAAAAAAAAGGCTATGGCTGTTCTTCTGAGTGATAAAAATACTGTCAAAGCTCTCTCATATGCTGTACTTCAAAGTCTGGAGGGATCTGGGTCGGCACCTCAGGTCTCAAGTGGAGCCGGAGATGTCGGTTTCTGCTGCCTCAACCTCAGGAGGGCAGACTGAGATCTACTGGAAAAAAGTAGAAAAATGCAATAGTATAGTATGATAAAAATTATCACATTTTAGGATGGAAAAATTGAAGAAATAAAATATGATATTAATATTACATTTTAGGAAGAAAAATGTCATAGTAAAGTGTGATAAAAATAACACATTTTTGTCCAAAGAATGTCAAAATATAACATTTAAGTATTAAAAAAAGTCAAAGTATGGTATGATAAAATATCAAATTTGATGATGAAAAAAATATAATATAGTATGGTAAAATTTTCATTTTTAGTATGAAAAAATTTTTTATAGTATAGAATGATAAAAATATCACTTTTGAGATTAAAAATGCCATAGTATAGTATGATTAAAAAAAAATACATTTACGGATGAAAAAAAGTCACAGTAGAGTATGATATTAATATAACTTTTTAGGAAGGAAAAAATGTAGAAGTAAAGTATGATTAGAAAAAAAACTTTTTTAGGATGAAAAAAAATGTCATGGTAAATATAATTTTAAAAAAGTCAAATTTTATGATTAAAAAAAGTCATAGTATAGTATGATAAAAATTATCACATTTTAGGATGGAAAAATTGACAAATTATAATATGATATTAATATCACTTTTTAGGAAGAAAAATATGTCACAATAAAAAAAGTTTAGAAAAAAAAATATGATAAAAAGGTCAGTATAGTATGATAAAAAATTATCACATTTTAGGATATTAAAATTAACAAATTAAAATATGATATTAATATCACATTTTAGGAAGGAAAAAATGTCATAGTATAGTATGATAAAAAAAACTTTCAGTGAAAAAAATGTCATTGTTAAAAAGATTAAAAAATCAAATTTTATGAGGAAAAATAATGTCATAGTATAGTTTGATAAAAAATATCACTTTTTGAGGATGAAAAAACGTCATAGTATAGTATGATAAAAAAATACTACATTTTAGTATACAAAATGTCATAGTATAGTATGATACAAATATTTGAGGATCAAAAAAAGCATTAGTAAAGTATGACTTAGGAATCGAATTAAAGGATGAAAAACGTCATAGTATAGTATGATAAAAATATTTGAGGATCAAAAAAAGTATTAGTAAAGTATGACTTAGATATCGAAATAAAGGATGAAAAATGTCATAGTATAGTCTGATAGACATTTTTTAGCCCCAAATGTAGTATTTTATTATACTATAGTATGACATTTTTTCCCATATGTGATATTTCTGAGTATAGTCTGATAAAAATTCCATATTTTAGAATAAAAAAATGTCACAAAAAAAAGTCAAAGTATAGTATCATAAAAATATCACATCTTAAAATAGAAGTTACAAATGTCATAGTAAAGTATGATAAAATACCACATTTTAGGATTAAAAAAGTCCGCATAGTGTGACGGCCCTGCCTAACTGGGGGTCAGGTGGACTAATCCTGGTGGAGCCATTTCATGTTTTCCCTGCAGGCCTACCTGGGAGAGAGTGGGTGTGGCAGATAATTGAAGCACCTGTGCCTAATGCTGCCACAGAGCATAAAAGGCCCTTCTCCAGTGCGGCTCTCTCTCTTGCTCTGACCCTGCCACAGGACTGCTGTCTCAGGCTTTTTGCTTTGATTTGACTTTGGTTTATTTTCACCCCACAACACCCTACACTTCATTACTCACACATCCACACTTACATGACTGATATCACTGACTAACACACACCATATTTACAAATAATTGCTTAAGTCTCTAATTTGTTTAAATAAATCTTTACTTCTCGCCCTACACTGCGTCCGTTTCCATATATGTCATGGCTTAAGAGCCGGGTTATGACAATAGAATGATAAAAATATCACATTTTAGGATGAAAAAAGTCCAAAGTATAGTATAATAAAAATATTAAGTGCAAGGATGAAAAAAACATAGTATAGTATGGTTAAATTTTCACATTTTAGTATGAAAAAAAAAAATTAGAGTACAGTATGAAAAAAAATATCACTTTTTAGGATGGAAAAAATGACATTATATAATATGATTAAAAAAATATACATTTTAGGATGAAAAAATGTCATGGTAAAAATGATAAAATTATCACATTTTATGATAATTAAAAATGTCATAGTATAGTATTATAAAAATATTACATCTAGGGGTGAAAAATGTCAGTACAGTAAGATAAAAATGTCACTTTTTAGGATAAAAAAAAAATGTCATAGTATAGTATGATAAAAATACCACATTTAAGGCTTAAAAAAAATAAAATAAAAAATGTCATAATATAGTATGCTCAAAATATCACATTTAAGGGTAAAAAAATTCAAAGTATAGTATGAGAAAAATAATAGCTATAAGGATGAAAAAACAGTATATTTTCAGTATATGGTAAAAATTTTCACATTTTAGTATGAAATTTTTTTATTGTATAGAATGGTAAAAATATCACGAAAAAAGATTAAAAAATGTCAGTATGGTATGATGAAAAAAATATCAAATTTATTGATAAATAAATGTCATAGTATAGTTTCATAAAAATGATCACATTTTAGGATGGAAAAAATGTCATTGTATAGTATGGTTAAAAAAACCTTTTTAGATTAAAAAAAATTGTCATAATAGGATGATTAAAAAAATCAGATTTTATGATGAAAATTTTTTTTCATAGTATAGTATGATAAAAATATTTGAGGATGGAAAAAAAAGTGACAGTAAAGTATGATTTAAAATTTAAATTAAAGGACGAAAAAAAGTCAGAGTATACTCTGATAGAAATATTACATACATAAAAATTTTCATAATATACTCTGATAGAAAAATCACATATAAGGGAAAAAAAATGTGATAGTCTGGTATGATAAAAAATGTCACTTTTAAGGTTGAAAAAAATGTCATTGTAAAGTATGATAAAATGTCTAATTTTAGGATGAAAGAAATGTAATACTATAGGTTAATAAAATATCACATTTTCAAATAAAAAATTGCATAGTATAGTATGATAAAAAAACTAACATTTTAGGCTGCAAAAAAGTCACATTAAAGTATGATTGAAAATCAAATTTAATGATAAAAAAGTGATACTATAGTGTGATAGAAATATCACATACAGAAAAAAAATGTCACAGTATAGTATGATAAAAATACCACATTTTAGGCTAGAGAAATGTCTTAGTATAGATGATATCACACTATGATAAAAAATATCACATTTCAGGATGAAAAAATGTTATGGTATAGTATGATAAAAATATATTTTATGGATGGAAAAAAAAAGTCACAGTAAAGATGGTTTTAAAATCGAATTTTATGATGAAAAAAATCATAGTATAGTGTGAAAAAAATTACATTTAAGGGAAAAAATGGTCATAGTATAGTATGATAAAAACATCACATTTTAGGATGAAAAATGGTCACTGTATAGAGTGATAAAATATCACATTTTAGGATGAAAAAAATGGCGTAGTATAGTATGATAAAAAAATACCATATAGTATGAAAAAAATAATTTAAGTAAAAAAAAATGTCAGGATAGTTGATGAAAGTGTCATAGTAAAGTTTGATAAAAATGTCAGTGTTATATTATAAAAATACAGTATTTAAAAAATATTGTATAGTTGAATTAAAATGTCATAGTATAGCATGATAAATAGATCATATTATAGCAATAAAAAAGACTGAACACAACAACATGTGCATTTTTTCCTTTTTATTACAAAAAATGAAAAACATTGACTTTGGTTTCTTCATTTATGTTGTTTCTCAAAGAAATACCTCAAAATTTGCAGAAAATTCATAGTTAAATCAGAGTTTAGAAGTCATGTCTGCAAAGTACAAAGCTGAAGCCAGGAGTTCGTTAATTTAGCATAAAGACTATGAGCAGAGAGAAAAGCTTAGCCGGGAAGCCCCTCTTAAGATCACCAGTAACACTTCTGATTTGTTTAATCCATCGAGTAAAAAGGAAAAGAAAAGTGGTAATTGTGGTTTTAGGAGATTTTGTGCAGAAGTGAGGAGCTTTGGAATTAATCAGAAGTGATATATGTTAATTATTGAGCTTTAAAGAGGGACAGGCTAACTTTTTCCCTCTATTGCAAGTGTTTATGCTCAGCTAATCAGCGCCTGGCTTCGAACTGAAACATTTTCTTACTTTTTCTAGTTTTGGCTTCAATCTTACAGGATTTTTGGCCTGTGAAATTTTAGCTTTGGCTCCAATTTAACGCAAGAGAACAGAAACAGATCACAGTGTTTAAATCTGCATAAAAACACATCCCATCATCCTGATTAGAAACAGATTAACAAGAATACATCATCAATCCCCAAAAACTTTCATTGACTGAAGAGACAAATTGAAATTCAGGGATCTCAAAACTCTGACGAATCCCACCAAAAAATTTAAATCTGCATCAGGAAACCTTTAAAAGTCAAGGAGGAGTTTCCTCTAGTTTCACGTACCACAAATAAAACTCCATCCGGCTGCAACTGAGGAACTCAATAAAACACTTGTATGAATACCTCAATGATTACCTAAAAGAAAACACAAATGGCTGAATACTAAAACAAATGCAGAAGGAGGAACATGTATGTCTGTATTAAAATCCTGCATTTTCTGTTCATGCATTATGACTTTTGGCAGCTTCAATAAATATATGTGGTCAAAAAAAAAAGGCTATGGCTGTTCTTCTGAGTGATAAAAATACTGTCAAAGCTCTCTCATATGCTGTACTTCAGAGTCTGGAGGGATCTGGGTCGGCACCTCAAGTCTCAAGTGGAGCCGGAGATGTCGGTTTCTGCTGCCTCAACCTCAGGAGGGCAGACTGAGATCTCCTGGAAGAACTCGTCGTCCTTCAGCATGCTCTGAAACACAAACAGAGGAGACTCGTGTTGGTTCTGTTTTCCCACTGAGGATCATTCAGGTGTGATGTATTGAGCAGGACTGTGTCTTACTGTGAGGTTGTTGATTCCCTCTGAAAACGCTCCGATCTGTCTCACAGTCCCTTCAGAGTCTTCCATCTGCCGAAAAATACACATAAAAAAACCCCGTGAAACACAAAAGAAACAAGCTTCAGGAAGGAGCCAAAATTCAAGGAGTTACAGTAAAGACATCTCCATACATGCTCCAGGTGGTCCAAGTTTTCCTCATAGATCCGGATCCCCCTCTGGAAGCTGCTGCTCTTCGGCATTTCAATGTTCATGGGGCAGACGTACTCCTCACCATCGTCGTGACGCTTCTTTCTCAAAGAGCCGAAACTGCCGAATGACAGGCGTCTGGGCTGAGAAGGAAACAGGACAGTTTAAGTTCAGTATTGTACACAGACACACATAACAATGAAGTGACTCTTACTGAGAGGATCTCTCATTTCAGACAATTTTAGAAGAAAAACTTTTTTGATATTATAGCAGCATCTTTTTATGATAAGTATTTTATCTGGACAGTTGAGGAAAGAGACAGAACATGTCGAAGTGGTGAGTTAAGAGCATGGGAAAACGCGAAAAAGGGTCGAGGCCAGGAGTCAAACCATGAACTGCTTATTCGAGGTTGGGTTGCAGCAGATGGCTGAAAAATCTGCGAAGTCTATGAGCAGACTTATATAAAGCACAAATATCTTTAAAAAAAGAGCAAAAAAAAACATTTTTTGAACATAAAAAACAATTTATCAAAGGAATAAATTGGACTTATATAAAGCTATGAGATGGTGCTCAACAGACAAATGATAAAATGTTACAGTATAATTTGATGAATTATCATACTATAGTATGATAAAAATATCAAAGTATAGTATGAAAAAAATACTTAAAATACTTAAAAATGTTATTGAGCAGTATCATAAGACAAATCAATATAGTATGACAACACTGTCATAGTATAGTGTGATAAAAATATTATAGTATAGTATGATAAAATGTCAGTATACTATGATAAAAATGTCAAATTTTAGTATGGGAAAAAGTCATAGTATAGTATGTTAAAAAAATCATTGTTAAGTATGATGAAAATATCACAATATAGTTTGATGAAATGTTAGATTATAGTTTGTTACAAATGTTAAAGTCAAGAATGATCAAAATCTATGGTAAAGTATGATTAAAATATCATACTATAGTACGACAAAAATGTCATAGTTTAGGATGATAAAAATATCAAAGTGTATTCCTATAAAAATGTCATAGTATAGTATAAAAATTAGCATCGTATAATATGAAAAAATATTTTATATAGTAGAAAAAAATTTAATAGTATAGTATGTAAAAAAAACAAAGATAAATATGATAAAAATATCTTATAGTATAAAAAAATGTAATGTAAAAAATATAGTATATTATTATAAAATGTCATGGTATACTATGATAAAATTTTTTAATCTTAGTATGGAAAAAAGTCAAAGTATAGTATGTTTAAAAATCATAGTATAGTATGTTAAAATTTCTAGTATAGTATGTGAAAAATGTTATAGTTAAGTATGTTCAAAATTTATGGTAAAGTATGATAAAAATATCATAGTATAGGATGATAAAAATATCATAGTATAGGATGATAAAAGGATCACAGCAAAATACGTGAATTTATGCTGGGCCCAACCTGCCTGCCACATTTCCTGAGGTTTTGAGCCCGTCTTGGGTGTTTTTAAGTTGAAAAACTTTTACCAAAAATAATAATAAATAATTCCTTCGATTTCAAAAGGGCTCAGGCCCTGAAAAGTGAAACTGAAGCTGGTGTCGTCACGGTAACAGGGAGATTAGTTTGGCCTCAACTTACCTTGACCTTGGCGGTGGCGGTGAGGACGCTGTAGTCTGGGTTTTCCAGACAGTCCTGTTTGAGCCGCTGAGCCTCGGAGCCGATGAGCAGGTGGAAGTGTGTGGCCAGGTGGCGTCTCAGCAGGGTTTTGTTCGGAGGGATGTTGAGCAGGAGAGCCAGCGCTTCCACGTTAAAGCGAGGCTCCAACACCTTCAGAGCGAGCAGAAAACAGCAAGGTAAAAGGTCAAACAGGGAAACAGACTCGTAAAAGTCAACACGTAAAAGTTTTTTTTTTTTAAGGAATAAACAACAAGTTTTTTTTTTTGTTCTCTGCGTAAACTGAAGTATTTTAACAGGAGCATCATTAGGTTCACTGTTTGTCAGATTCGGAGTATCCTTGAGAGTTCATAATCCCAAAGTCGTTAACTTGTGAAGAACATTTTTGAGATTGTACTTTTGCATAAACAAGAAAATTTTATGTTTTTGAAAAAACATTCTTTAAATCTTTTTTATTTTGCTTATTTCTTGCACCTTCACCTCTGAAGTGACTGGATAAAACTTGCTAAAGTCTGACTCTTTCCCTCAGAAATGCAGAGTTCTTTCTCTGAGTGCTACTTTTCAAATCATATTTCCTCCTCCATGACTTTCATTCGCTGCTCTCATCATTTATTTCCCTGTTGGGTTTGTAACATTTCATCTCATCTCGATCCTGTCTCACCATCAGCCCTCCGTGAACACCGCTGCCCCTCAGATTCGGAGCGTACTCTGCCAAATCCACGGACCGGAGCCACTCCATCACACGGTGGTTTGTCCACTGGGAGATCTCTGCCGGCGTGATGTTGTTCTGAACCAAAACAAGGGGATGACGATGCAGATTTGAGGTGCAGAGACATTAAAAAACAACAACAGAAGAGTGCAGATCATGGCTTCTGATCTTATACCTCATCAGAGGGTCGTCTCCTCAGACAGTTGGGTTCAAATGAGTTGAGGCGGAGGACCTGGATGGCCCTCTTGATGCTGAGGTGATGGAGGACGCTGCCCACCTTCAGAGACAGCAAGTCATCCTGCAAGATCAAACCGAAAAAAGTTAGAAAAAAGAAAGAAAGAGTAGAAAGAATTAGGACAAACACATTTACTTTCATGAGTGTCGTCTCTTTGATAAGCACAGACTCACCACGGTCATGTGGTGCAGCATTCGTCCATCCACACGAGCTTCATCAAAGTGGCTTTTGTACTGCGGGAGCCCGATATCATCCAGCCATCCTGAAATGAACCATCAGAGTTTTTAATAAGAACTCAAACTGTGTGGGTTTTTTTAGAGTGGGATAAAATACAATGACACTCACTGGTCACCCAGTTGTGGTCCAGTCTGCCTTTCAGGTCGTCCTCGTCTGACCCGAGGGCCTGCAGAGCCAGCTGCAGCTTCTTCCTGTGGAGCAGCTGCTTCATGCCCAGCTCCTGAGAGGGACAACAGAGAAACGTGCACAGAAGACAGAAACAGAAGCAATCAGCAGTGAAAGAGGAATTTAATAAAAGTAGCAAAGAAATCCAGATACAACGTGATGTAATATGTTTGATAAAGTATTGAGACATGTTTCCATATCAAAGCGAGAATAAGACTAATTTAATTTGACAGAACTGTTGAAGGATCTGCAGGAACCAAGGATGAGAGTATCTTCTTTATCCCCATGTCTGCAGCAGTACATTAACTGCACATTAATATACTAAAAGCTGAGTCCTAGAGGACATCTGATATATGACTCAGACAAAGACACTGAAAATAAAAGTCTGTTTCTGTTCTAAAAGCACGATCATACACAGCCTCCTCTCACCTTCTCCAGATCATGTTGTGATGCCTGCAGCAGAGTTTGTCCTGATTTGATCCAGCTCTGACCCTGAGCTGCGTATAACCCCAGGCCCTGCTCGTGCAGCCAGCCGCAGACGTCATCTTTAGTCCAGCGTGAGAAAGGAACATCGACAGCACTAAACACAAAGGAGGGACTGATTACAGTAAATCAACTCCCAACATGTAAAAAATAAAGTGATTCAAAGGGAACTGTTGCTGGTGAAGACTATTTGACCCTGACTTGTGTTTTGGTTCCCGCGACCAGCCGAGTCGTGGTCCAGCTGTGGCTCTGACTCCGCCCCTCCTGAACTCCATCTCTGCAGCGTCATCGAGGTTAAAGGAGGTAGAGTGACTCCTCTTTAGTCTGAAAGAGGATTGAGGATCATAGATGACAGAAAATAATGATCTGATGAGACAAGAGGAAGAAGAGCTGACACACTTGTAAACGTTACCTGCCAAAGAATTTCATGAAGCCTTTGGACTTCTTTTTGGTCTCAGGCGAGGACGGCAGAGGAGCGGCAGTCTGAGATTTACGTGGAGGAACGCCGGCCAAGTCCAGGTGCTCTGTGCCTTTACCTTCAGTCTCAGCTGAAAAACACATTCATACGCTTTAAATATGACATTAAAAGGGCTTTACAAGGCTGAATCGTCCAGAGTTTGTCAAGTTAGTTAATATGAAACCTCGGGAAGCACCACTAGGACCCTTTGTTAATCCGAAAAAAAAAGAGAATTTAACAGAAGCATCAACACCAAAACTGACACCATCCATGCAAAAGACAGGCTGTCTAACTGTGAGAACTATAAGTCTTCTCATTTTAAGGCAAATGAGAAAGTCGAACCATAACCACAGATTAGTTGCAGATGGATTAAAGTCATGGATAAGGGACAACTGGACAGAAAGACTTCAAACTTTAACAAGGTTTTAAGAAAAACATCTTTATAACAGGATTTAAAGCAGTGATTCTTTCTTCTACTTTTAACAACACACTGATTTAAATGTTGAATTATTGAATCCAATGGTCAGAAAATTAAGAGGTGAGCTGTACAAATATTTCACAACAAAAAAAGATTTTTAAAAAAGCAAAAAAGTTTGCAAAACAAAAATATTTCACAAAGTGCAAAAATATTTTATAAAAAAACAAAAATATGTTCTCTTTTCAGTATTTTCTCATATTGTTGTGAAATGTTTTTCTGTTCTATCAAATAATTTGTAGTTTCCAACATGTTTGTCAAGTGAAATATTTTTGCATATGCTGATGTTTTTTGTATGTTTCATATGTTTATAAGCTTGATTGAATGTTTTTAAAAATGTTTTAGTGATTTTACAAATATTTTTATTTGTGTTTCGTAAAATATTTCTATGCTTTTAGGAATATTGGTGTTTGTGATTGCTGAAATATTTCTGTAGAATTTTTATGAGATATTTTGGCCTTTTAATGAGTTCTTTTTTTCACTTAATAAATAGTTTTTTAAGTTCAATAAATGCTTTTTGCTCTTTTTTAAAAATATTTGTGCTATTGACATTCAAGGCTACTGTACTATTTGTGAAGTTTCTGAACCACTGCTTTAGGAGGAGTTGAAATTGTCTGTTTATGAGTTAATAAGTATGACAGAATGTGATCTTCACATTTACAGTTCAGTTTCACATGTCTTTGTCAGTACTGTCTTTATTCACATCCAGCTGTTTTATCCAGAGCTGCCATACTGCAGGCCAACACGCCCTCTCTGCTCTACTGTACCTAACACAGGTGCACTGGTACTCCGGCTGCGGTCTTCACAGTTTACAGAGCCGTGAAAAAGACAGGAGGATCAGTGACACGATAGCAAACATTTGAAAACTGTGAAAAATGTGAGAATTGTCAGGATAGTTTAGCGGTTTAGAGCTCAGGCTCACCCAGGTTTGGAGAACTGGCTGTCTGTTTGCCACCTCGCAGCTTGAAGAAACCCCGGCCGAAAGAAGAACGAGCCTTCTTGGTGCCAAAACTGTCGTCACTTGATTTGCTGGAGGGCAAAGAAGCGGGTGCTGCTTTACTTTTGGCCTGAGAAAAGAAGGAGAAGGTTGGAGAAAAGTCAAAGACAGTAAAAGGAAAAGAGTTTCTCCTTTAAATTCAAGCAGCTACATGGAAAAGAAAATGTAGTTGCATTCTTTATCCACAAGGGGTCAGAACAGGACTGTCTGCAGAACAGGCTGCAGGTCTTGTGACTGATCCTGTGACCACATGAGGCCATACTCATTCAAATCAAATTCTCACAGATTCACATTCAACATTCAAGATTATAATGTAAAATACATTTCAAACTGTTAGAAATATAATGACTTACCTGCTCTGTGCTGGTTCTGGCTGAGCTGTCTGCTGGTTGGACATCTGAGGAGCTAACCACAATTACAAAAAAGTGTTAAAGTGACTCACTTTACCTGATAAAGGTGCTTAAAGAGTCCTGAACAAGCCCTTCCATATCGTGTTGTAGAAACATTTTTACTTTGCAAAAAAATGTTCTCACATTTTTGTGAAGTGTTTTTCTGTTCTATCAAAAAATTTAGTTTCCATAACTTTGTTTCAAGTGAAATATTTTTACATAAGCTTATGTTTTTTGTATGATATACATGTTTATAAGCTTGACTGAATGTTTTTTCTGTTTTAATAAAATGTTTTAGTGATTTTTACAAATATTTGCATTTGTGTTTCGTAAAATGTTTTTATGCTTTCAGGAATATTGGTGTTTGAGATTGCTGAAATAATTGTGTAGAATTTTTATGAGGTATTTTGGCCTTTTAATGAGTTATTTAGTATTTCATTAAACTTTTTCATTTAATTAATTGGTTTTTTTTTGTTCAATAAATTTTTTATAATTTACTACTATAATACTTTGCAGACATTTCACAGTAAAAGCATTAATAACTGATGCAGAAACATCAATTTATTCCACCATCATTTCCTGAAGTTGCGGATGGAAAAGAGACTCTTTACAAACGTCACCCTCATCAGTTATATTGGTGTGTTTTGTCTTTTTTATAGAAGCGTCTAGGTTATAATTGAATTAGGATTACTGTGTCTATCTTTTAATTAAATGTATTTGTACATGGTCAACCTTGATATTCTAGAAATGTTTCAGGATAATTTTCCTTTATCATCTGTTCACACGTGCCCCTCACAGTATGAAGTTCCCTGTTCAGTGTAGTGTGTGGGGACTGATGTGTCTCAGGAGGCAGAAAATGACATCAAAGCTCGCTGTGAAAGCTACAGTGTAATGTTTACAACATGACGTAAGTTTTGAAGAGTTTTTTTCATGTGTGAAAACAGCTTAGTGAATCCTTTTAAAACCATCAGTGAAAAACTTCTGAAAATGATCCCAAACATCTGCTTCATTCACACGTGGTTCAGATTTTACACTGTTTTTAATCCCACCCATGAGATGAAATTAAGCTGAAACAAATGGGTTATAATAACATGAAGGAAAAACAATTAGATCTCAAACTCAGAGTTTTACCTTTGGGCCGCCTGTAACTGTCTCTCTTTGTCCAGCTCATTCATCTCAGAAAGCACGGCTATACAAGGAATCGACTGGGCCAACACACAGAAACAGAGGAACACATGATTAATCAAACATATTTTCACAACAGCAGAATATTTTCACAGTTTGAAAAGCCCAATAACCAGAACAGAAACTCTGGATCCCAGCGAGGAAGAATTTCAGAGTGGGAGGCCGAAATTGAGCTTTTCTGAGAGGAAGTCTGGTCTGGGGTTCATCCTGTGTTCCGAATTGTTTTGACAGACGTTGTGTTTACCTCGCCTGAGCTCCTTCCTGCCTCCCCCATCAGCGCCAGAGTGACCTGATCCACCTCCATGGATACAGGAAGAGAGGGATCATCGGGGATATCGTCATAGTCATCTTCCTTCAACTTCTCTGAAAGGGGAAAGTTGGGACGGGTCAGAGAGGCACTACAGAGTAAAACAATCACAGCGACAATTAAGGAGAAGAACCAGCACTTCTTAGATTTTAGAGGACAACAGAACCACAAATCAAGACAACTTCAGAAATGGTCAAACAAAATTCAACGACAAAGGTTTTAATGCTGGCAGTGGACATAAAATTGCTATGTGTTGAAGAGGAGTAAGAAGCCCTGTCACATCTTTGATTCCTCTGCTGGGAGTTGTGAATGTTAAACAGCTACTGGAAAGCAATAGGGAAATAAAATACAGTCAAATTGCAGCAGCCAATCCTGCACCATCACCTCCTTCAGTCTTTTCACTCCGGGAACACTTCACCCTTCATAATGAGAGGAAAAGTATAGGCTGCAAAATCTGTGAAATGGGCCTTGCAAACCATAGGAGCACGTGGGTATGGACAAGCGTTTTAAAAAGACGGCATGTAGGGCGTCTCTCTTTTAGTGTGAATGTTTCTGTGTGTGAGTGTGTCCGTGGGTGCAAGCAGAAATTGCCCTTCTGGCTGTGATTAGTTATTGTTTAGTGTTTTAAGCGGGCTTTGAGATTTTGAAGCCAGAATTATTATTTGAAATTATGTCCCAAAGTGGACTCGGAGCAGTCATAAACTCCTGTAACTCACTCAGCTTTGGTGCAGTGAAAGCAAATAGGATGTGTAAACATTCAAAGATAAATGAGTAACATTACTGTCATTTTTAATCTCAGTCTGACCTTTGACCATCTCCTGTACGTTCTTGCTCTTTGTCAGCGACTCCTCCAGCTCTTTTATCCTTCGTTCCTGCAGATAAAACAGCCTCCTGTCAAAGCACTGTCTCCTCAAAGTAAATGAAGCGTCTGCTCTGCTGCTTTTTTTTTTAATCAGTGCCAAATCATAACCTACCTTCTCATCATTGGCCGACGCCAGTGACTCCAAAACCATCTTCATCTTCAACACTTCTGCATCTGGAAAAAACTCAGAAAGATAAATTTCTGCTCTGGGAAAGGTTAGCTCACTGTAACTCCCTTTAGCTCTGTAAGAAACCATAAATAATGAAGCCGCTGAGGCTCAGTGTTTTTAGTCAGCAGGGCTGCTGCTGTAGTTTGTTGCTGCAATAAACTCTTGATTCAATTATCACCTCAAAGTATTAAAAACAGAGGCTTCCTGTGTTTTTTATGGACGCTCCATACAATCAAACATGTGCCAACCACTTGGTAATCTAATCCAAACCATATTTGTCTTCTGGGAAAACCTCAAGTGAACTCCAGAGTGTGTTTTTAAGAGCAGAGCTGATCATCTGGGCTGAGGTTTGGAGCCATAAAATTGATTAAAATCCATTATTAAGTCTCCCTTTAAACAGTGGTGTACTCTGACTTCACCTTCGTTCACAACTAAACATATACACTGAAGACAGGTCAAATCACCAATAAGGCACTTTGTCTACATTTAATCCTTTTGACAGTCATTCAGGAGTTATGGTTTCCATCAGAGGTCAGGTGTTGTTGTTATTGCATTTTAACATTTGGAAAGATAACCAAAGGACATTTAATTAATATTTAATCCATTCAGAGAGTCTCCGGATGGTTCTTTGTATCCTCTTTATCCACTGGAAGAGCTTTGAGAGGAAGCTTTGTTTACATTTAATGTACTAGAAGAGGGCACTTTGTTTCCTTTTAATCAATAGGAAGGGAGGCATTTCTTATATACTGTACCAACTGGAGAGAGCACTTAGTTTGCATCTACTTCTCTAGAAGAGGGCATTTGGTTTACATGGTACCCACTGAAAGGACTTCAAAATGGACTTCAAGGGGGGCACTTTACTTACATTTAATCTACTTAAAGCAGGCATTTTGTTTACATTGTATCCCATTGAAGGGCTTCCAAATGGACCCTTTTTTACTGTACATTGTTTACTGTTATGCATTTTACATGAAAAGGAAACCTTTGAGGACATTTTTGATTATGGTTTCCACCAGGAGGGTGATGCCCCCCCTGAGCCTCTCCCTCTAAATACACCACTGGTCCTTTTTCCAAATCCATTCAGGCTCACATTTTACCGATAAAAGCTGTTTTAAATATTTGGACATGGTAAAAAATGGGGCTAAAAGTCATGATCATAAAGTGTAAGAACTCGCATTCATTTGGTTCAAGCCCCCGGTAAAAAGCATTTGACATTATTAATGGTGTTAAAACAGTGGCAGGGGAGTTTTAATCACTGCACTCCTCATTCATAGAGTCTGTAGAGTGAGTCAAAACAAACACCTATAGCTGTTGATACTGTACAGAGCATGTATACAGGCAGAGTGTATAAGAGACTCCCCTTTAAAATAAATTGCATTCTTCCACCAACAGAGGGGATAAGATAAGGTTACCAGGCGTGGAGGGAGTGAAACAGTCTGACATGTTTGGTATGGCGCCTGCAGAAGGACGGATGAGGAGTTATGTTGGGAAAGAAGCCTCAGATCACCTCATTATAGTTTAGACGGTAAGTAATTTATGGAGAAATTCAGATTAAATTAAGATAACTATCAAATGTTCAATGAAGCTGCTTGCGGGGGTTATTTGGTGTTGTTGGAATTTGAAATATCTGTTTGTCTAATCCTCATAATCGCTTTTGTAATATTAGATTTGGACTTTATAAAACAAGAAGCTCTCAGACGGTTATTAAAGCAGCTCCCACCTCTCTCTGCTCCCCCTCCTCCTCCTTCTCCTCCTCTCTCCTCAGCTCTGTTGTGACTCTCTGTCCTCAGTCTGCTCTCGTCTTTAAGTCTCCTCAGCTCAGCCTCTCGCTCCTCCAGCTGCTTCTGCAGAAGCTGCAGCTCCTCCTGTAATGAAAGAGGATGTGTCTTTATTTCTTTGTTGGTAAATCAGACTCAAGGAGATTAACAGAATTCATTTCCTTGATTCGAAATTTAATCTTCCAGTCGCCTCTTTCAGGCTTTGAGTGCCCAGACGCACAACAGATTAGAAATTGTTTCATGGAAAACATCAGAGGTGTCAAATTGAAGTTCCCAGAGTCAAAGGTCAAGCAAGACTCTTCAACTTACAAGAGCAAAAGAAGTGACAAAACTCAAAGAAAGCCAGAGAAAGATTGTATCTTGTGATTTTCTTTAGTTTTCTTTGGTTTCAAATTAGATTTTTAATGTTTTGGGCACAAATGAAATAGTCCTTTGTAAAAGTAAATGGAGCTTTTTGTATAAAACTGAAAAGTACCTTGAACACAATATTAGTCAGTCAGTTGATGATTTGGTTCTCTGAACACTCTGTGAGTATTAAGATGATTCAGTGCTCATAATTTTCACTCAATCGTGGAAACACACAATAAAACATACAAAACAGTGAGAAAAACTTTGAACAAAAGCTGATTAAAAGTTTCTGGTGGTTTAAGAGCTACTTTTACCAAAGGATACTCAAGAAAATTAGCGCTAAAAAACACGCACAAAAATAAATTTCTAAATGTGTTTTACTGAAGTTTGTAAGTGACCCGAACAAACAGAACCCAGTAGATAATAAAAATGGTCTTCAGTCTGCAGGTGTTAAATCAAGCCGAAAGCTCAGAGATGCAGGTGAAAGCACTTACAGCCAGTGTGGTGAAAGTCAGGAAAGCAGTGTGCAGCAGTGGAGAGGGAGCAGGTTTAGAGGATCTTTGAGGGCGGAAAGGAGAAGAAGAGTACACACTGGAGATTAAACCTCGTTCACCTCGTTGGCAGTGAACCGCACAGTGTTCCCCTTCGGACGCTTGACATGTTAGCATGTTGCAGAAAGAAGTTAAAATCACAGAAGAGAAGGAGGAGCAGAAATTACAAGGATCTTAACATGTTCTGGTACATTACAAAAGGATAGAGACACTTATAGGTCATCTGTCACACGCTAAAATGTCAAGTCTCTCTCAGCTGAACCTTCACGGACACACTTACTTTAGCAGCTTTGAGTTTCTTCTCACACTGAAGTCTTTCATTCTCTATATCAGTCACCCTGAACCGCAGGTCCGTTACTTCCTGGTACAAGCCCTGGGGAGGAGAGAACAACTCCATTACCCATTAATCTCTGAGAAAAACCTGCTCTGGGGAGGTTTATTGAGACTGTGTGGGAGATGGTTTTGAATTTTTTAACGGGGGGGAGATTTCCTGCCAAAAGTACCAAACATTTTTCTAAACCAGCATCCCAGAGGGGGGAATCTGAGAGGCTCAGTCCACACATGGAGGCAAATCCTGAACCACGGGAAGCGTCATGGTCAGTTACTGTGAAATGGCTTTTATCACAGTCAGAGTGGGAACACTGTGCTGCACAGACACTTCTGTTTCATACAATGTGAATTTGAAATCTAGGCTCTTTTACTTTTAATAAGCAGGATTAAGGAAGAGTCTTAGTTTGAATTTGTCAGGATTAGAGGAGCGACTGGAGGAAACACCAAATTCAGACTGTTGGGAACATTTCTGTCAGTTTTCCAGTGGTTTATAAGGTACAGCTTTTATCCGTTTTTCTCTAAATAGGGGGGAGTGTCAGTGTTTCAGTGATTCCATGTGACTGTCTAGACTTGGAATTTTATACTAAATAAAAATGAAAAACAAAAAAAAAATGTTTTTGTATTTTTTGACATATTTAAAAATAACATTTGTGGTAAAAAATGAGTTCTGGTAACAACCACGCCTCAGTTAGGCAGCTACGGGTCAGTCGTAGAGTCAGTCATCACTCAGCTGTAAAGTTTAGAGCCCCCAACTCCACTCAGTGGTAAAGTGTCCTTTGGGCAAGACACCGAATCCCAGATAGCTCCCAATGGTATAGCCAGTAGCATGTGAATGTACATGAATGGGTTTAGGTAACACTGATGGGCGATTTACATTGCAGACCTTGCTGTCAGTGTGCGCATGTGTGTGACATGTGGTGTAAGTGCTCTTTAAGTGGTCAGAAGAGAAAAACAAATGTAAATGTAACAAATGTAACTCAGTCTGTTTAAGCCCTCAACTTTGTAGCATTAAGACTTTGGGCTTACACTCAATTATGGCAGAGACTGATGCCACTGTTTGGCCTAGCAGGCAACAACCTCTCTCTCTCTCTCTCCTCATGCTCACTTTGTCCTTTGGCTTTTCAGACACACAAACACAACACGCCTCCTTCTGCCTCCCTCCCTGCTCTCCTCTCTCGGACCTGTAGCTGAATGATGGTTTGAACTCCGGAAGCACAACATGTTGAAGCTACCCACTGAGCAATAGATGGTTGAAATTAGGTTTAAAAAAAAAAACCTAGATGTCTAATAGCCATCTAGATTCTGTATATTTTTAGACAGAATTTAGACGTTGCACTTTAACCCATTATTCGATAACTATTTATTTCAAAAAGCAACTGTGAGTTGCATAACTGATCTCCAAGTACTTAACCAAAGTAATTATCATCGCCATTGAGCAATATACAGCGTAGACCTCTGTTAGCCAACTAGTCTAAACTTGGTCTAAATTTTCATTTCATTTTTCATTCTTTCATTTTTAGACCTGTGGTAGCCTGATTTCAGATCAGTCGTCTAGGCTACATTTAGACGTCTATTAGACCTCTTTTAGACCAAAAAATGCTCAGTGGGCACAGTAGTTCACTGTTACATTCAGTGGCAGAAGTGACTCCCTTGTGCTCCTTTGTTGTGCATCAATGTGGAAGTGAGTGTGAGGAAAGGGATAGAGCACAAACCCCGCCGGTATCTGAACAGATTTCTAAAACTTAAACGGACCAACTTCTGTCTCTGAAAGGGTCAGTTTATGGACCCTGCCAGTGTGTGTGATCTCTCTGAGTTCTGGTTTAAGTAGGTTATGAATCTTTGGAGGAAGGGCTGAGCTTTCTTGAAATGAAATTCATAAATTTAGGCACAACAGTTAAACCACTAACGGTTATGGGAAAAAGCAGCACTGCTGACGGAGAGAGATTTGTGTTTGATTTTTACGTTTAATGGAAACTAAATGGAAACAAAAATAAATATGCACAATAGCATTCAGTTCACTGACCTCTCCTCAGGGTTTACTCTCTGGAAACACCACATAATACTCCCTGAATGTATGTGCCTGGACGGAGCGTATGGAAACTATAACTCTCCCAGCCTTCCAGTCCCTCAGGGAGGAGGGGGAGGTATTGGCACAGGTGGGGGTGGTGGGCTTCTAGCAGGAAACAGCTGCTGGAGCTCAAGGGGTGTATGGGCTTATTTTGTAACCCCTGAAGAAGTTCAACCCACACCACATGACATGACAGAACTCAGAGTCCTTCAGCGGAGTGTGACGGACCTTTTGTGACTCGAAAACAATGACTGGGCTGCTGCCAGGATCCAGAGTCGCACATCACATCAAAACAAGGTGCAGGTGCAGCTGAGAACTTCATCTATCTCCACTGAACTTCACATGGTCGGGCCAAGGTTTACCTCATTGTCCCTGTGATCTCTTTCCACAGCAGTTAGCTTTAGCTTCAGACTGGACACTTCAGTCATCAGCTCAAGCTTCTGGGTCTCCAGTGCTGATCGGTTCAACAGCTCCTGTGGGTGAAACACACAGAAGCTGCACCTAAGTATTGAAATAACCTTCTTTAATTCAACTACTTAAGGTAAATGACACAACAGAGGCTTTACCTGCTGAAGCAGCTCCTCTGTAGCATTGAGTTTCTGTCGATGATGTTCCAGGCAGGAATCCAAGTCCCGTATCTTCTCCCCTTGCACCTCAACCTGGTCTGTTAGAACACTTACCTAGACAAAGAAGAGACATCTATGACTCTTTATAGACTCGCAGACAATGAGCAAGATCATCTCTATGATCTAAAACAGATTTTTTCAATTATAGAAAATGTTTGGAAAAGAGTTTGGATCCAAAACTAGAACCTGTATCTTGATCTAAATGTAGTGCTGTTTGAGTAACTTCTACTAAACACTATAATTGGCAGCAGTTTCATAAAAAAAGAGATAAAACACCACTTGTCATCTCATCCTAAGTATGACTGAGTCGCCACAAACAGAGCAGCAAAGAGAGACTGACCGCCAAATTGTTGGTTCGCGCGTGACTTGTGGACATGAGAAGACGGTCAGAACAGTGCCATCCTTCTCCTTAAATTAGATCAAATCGCAGCACCATCCATCTCTAGAGTACCTCATATTTTTGAAGAGTCTTTTAGAGCAGATGCGAGCTCAACGTCTCAATTAGGCCAAGTTAAAAAGGCCATGCCAACAAGAAAATTGCAATCATTTTACTGAGAGGGTAACTGAAGAAGACATGGATAAGCTTTTCCCTGCAGGCAGACGTACTTAAAAGGGACCAATGATGAATGAGACTTGACCATTTTTTTTTTAAGAAATGTTCTGAATATCTGAAAAAACGGACCGTCTGAGGACAGAAATCAACAACTTGTGCCTCTTTTGAGGGCATAACTGTTCAAACGCAGCCATGTATAACACATCTTCATTGCCAATTTAAGGGCAATTGGTCCTTGGCTCTGTAGCAACACTGAGCAGTTTTTTCTCACTGACCTGAAGAATAAGACACTCTTTGTCACTCTCCAGTCGGGACAGACGTTCTTGGTAGACTGCCTCTGAGCTGTGGCCGTTAGTCTGGAATGAGAGAAATAGGTTTTAATTTGAGGTTTCCTAGGAAACAGATGCATTTCTAGCAAGAGTAATAAAAGTGTCCAATTATTTCTTAACAGATGAGAACTCACAGGAAATAGAGAGGGCTCTCAAGTTCAAAATCAGGTTAACAGAGGACTCAAGTGGAAATACTCGCTGCCCTTCAGCCGGATAGATTTTCTAAAGGCTGTGTATCACTTAGTCGAACGACCATGAAAAACCCCTGACAACCAACTCACATAGTGAATGAATAAATGAGCATGTGGAGTTTTCAGAGAACCATGTGAGGCTCGAACGTATTCTCACATGCAAGTGATTTGAAAATTGAATCAAAAGCAAACTTTTCTCTCAAATATCAGAGGGGAACAAGAGACAAGGCCGTGAGGGAAGAAAAACAAGAGTCTCGGCCTGAGTTTGGGAGATGGAAACTATTTGCAGCAGGATTCCTATAGAAACTCCATCATTCACCAATCGTGTCATAACAGCACTTTTATGATAAACAGTCCCTGTGTAGGCAAAGGCTTAAATCATAACAGCCTTGAACAGTATAAAGAGTGATTTTGTTATACAAGGACGAAATCAAAACATTTGGTTTAAATTAAAGCACTTCTTTAAGATCTGCACAGAAATAGACTTTGGCAATTAAAGGCATGAGGTCATTTGTTCTCTCAGGTCAGAGATGAGAATCAGCTTTGCTCGGATTCAAACTCAGGAACTCCAATCAACTTACATAAGTAGAAGAGCTATCTGACAAATGAAAAGAGTGAAGTGTTCATGTATCCAGAGATGAAATGTGATCAAATACCTAAAACAGCCGGATAGAAATGGATCAAGATGCGCTTTGCCCAAATATTAGAAAGTGTGGATTCATCTCTCTGTCCAAGAAACATATTTGGATGACTTTACCCCACAGCAGTGCAGCTGTGTCGAGTAAGCTGAAGTAGTTTTTCACAGGTTCTGTGCTGTGTTAAAAGACAGCTTTAGTTTCACTTAATTAGACTCAAGTTGGACATCTGTTCTCTACCTAATAAAGGCATTTCAGATTTGAAAAACTGCCTGTTAAAACTTTAATTTTTTAAATCTTGCTAGGTCAAAATTTAGCCTCCTGGATAAGAAAAATACTGTCAAGATAAAATGATAATTAGCTTCTTTTTCATAGTTGCCCTACTTGTCATCCCATTTTAGCTAAAATTGGTAAAGGATAAAAAACTGATTTGAATATTGTTGATGAAGTGGAAAATGTCCTTTACTAAGAAATGGCTCTGAAAAACTAACACTAGATGAGTCGACTGATCTGGCACATAACATCTTTGTGATGGAAACAGTGTGATGGATGGATAGTACAATGAGTTTGTTGAAAACTGGGAAAAATAGGTCACGTACATATTTCTCTTCTTTCAGACCAGACGTCTTGTAAATATTATTTTTCTATTGTTTTCCTTTTTCTCTTTACTGCTTGAGTTTTCTCTTTTTCTCTGATGATCTTCACTTCATTTCTGTTGGACTGAACTTATTTTTTCTCTTATTTTCTTGTCATGCTAAATTTGTAAGACCTTCATGTAGTGCTGGACGATAATTCGATAACAATATATATCGATCGATAGACGTGTGCTGCGATAGAAAAAAAACGGGTCGATAAAAAGTTCGATAGAAAAACACAGTTTCCCTTTCTTTTTCATCATAGCCTATCATGTAGCTTTTGCTACAGTCATTACTTCCTCCCAACCAATCACAAACGCAGACCCAGGTACGCTACGGCACCAAGCCCAGCCCCTATCAAACCACAACAGACAGCACGTGTATTAGAAAAAATGATACAGCAAGGAGAAGCGGAGGACATTGTCAGTAGTTTCACCAGCATGGCAATGTTTTGGTTTTTAGAAGTCTGACAAAAAGCGAACAGCGGTCGTTTGCAAAATTTGCAGAGAATTAGTAAAAACGAAGTCTGATAACACAACCAACTTGTTTTACCATCTAAACCGGTCGCACCCACAGGAGTACGAGCTGTGTCGGCCGCGCCGCGGCTCCACGTCGTCGTCGTCGGAATCCTCTGGAACCGCTACCAGCACCAGCACAAAGCAAGTGAAGCAGACCAAACTGGACTTCGTTTCTTACCAAAATACGACAAAGCGTCCGAGCGGCATAAGGACATCACCCATGCAGTAACATGCTGCATAGCGAGGGACATACTGCCAATAACTACCGTTGAAAAGCCTGGCTTCGACCAGCTTCTAGCCACTCTCGACCCGCGATATGAAGTGCCCGGCCGCAAGTATTTCTCAAACACAGCGCTTCAGGCATGAAAATGGGTCAGGGGTTGAAAAGGTGAGAAGAATGCACCCCTGCATCCCGTCCACCCATTAGCTTCTTAAAGTGGAAGAAAATGAGCTCATATTTTACAAAGACGCGAGTATTTGGATCATGGCTACTAGCAGGGGGTGCATTCGGCAGGGGTGCATTCTACGACACAACACCGGCGTGGTTAAGTCCTGCTTCTCGTGCTCAGTTTGCGTATCAAGTCAATCACATGATAATTAAAAAAATAAATCTCCCGACCCCGGGAGAAATATTTCAGTGTTCAGACACCAGGCTGTGGGCAGTTTCCCACACAGTTAAAACTGGTAGTATGCTATTCCCACCTGAAGCTATTCTGTTTATTTATATATTTGTTTGTTTTGTTTATTTTCATCAAAAGACTATTTAAATATTTATTTATCAGATTTTCTGGTCACTTTAGTCTTTATGTTTGTCAGTATTTACTGACGTCACTCAGGCCACTTAAGTTGATTTCTTTTTTTTTTTAGTTCTTTTTTAAAAAACTTTCAGTTGTGGTAAAATAAAAAAGGTGGTTGAATAAAGGTTTGAATTTGAATTCAGTGCTTCTGTGTTCTTTATTAAAAGTAGGTCATTAAGCAATAGCATAAAACATCCAGGGCTGCAATTAAAATATATGTTAAATAATTATAATAATTATATTGATAATTATCGATATCGATCAATATAATTTATTTTTTATCGATATGCTTTTTTTCTATATCGTCCAGGCCTACCTTCATGTCCATAAGTCCTCTTAGGTGATGTTACATTATTATTTCTGTGTGCATTTTTCCATGTGCACAGCTACCCACCTTCATAATTTTGTGTTTAACTATCGATCAGATGTAAAAGTTTTTGCATATACTGCGGAAAAAAGAAGACTGGCTACAATCAGATTTGTGATACATGTAAACACACACGACACCATCAGTCTTTTACATTATATATGGAGGCAAGACTTCAACTGACACATGTTCAAGTGCCAGAGAGAGAGAGAAGCACATACAAGTTTAAACATGTGCCCCGTTATGAGAAATGATGTGCAGCTTTCATGTTTCAGAACGACCAACTGCTGAGAAAATCATGTCTCCTGTAACAGTAAAGAGCGTCAATCCTCGAAGATAAAGTCCAGCCCAGCAGGACAGACATGACTCTACATGTACATTTAGAACACATGCAGCGTTCACACATCACATTAAGCTGAAGTAGCTGCTTGTCATTATTACACACCTTTATCTCATACGTGGACATCAGAGACCACATAAAGAGGATTTAAAATGACTCAAAAGGTTTTCTTTGTACCAGTCGTCCGTGCAGCCACTCTGCCAGCCCCTCTGCTGTGGAATCAGGGATCTGACACCGCAGGTTGTCCCTCTCCTCATTGTCCATGAGCTCCAGGGCTCCCCTCAGGTCCTCCAGCAGGTGCAGCACCCGCAGACCCCCCAAGAAAGGCGAAGTGGGCGACTGGCAGTCAAACAGACCGTTGGAGTAGTCCATGGCCTTGGAGCCTGAGGATGACAGCGGGGGAGAGTGAGCTCACCATCAAATGAAGTTGTGAAATGAGGCTTGCTCATGCTTTTAAAAACTCAAATCTAATGAGTTTCGAATGTTGTCAAAGCCACATTTGGTGCTGATCTCTGGGTGTGGTGGGAGCACGATGATGACAACTAAAACCAGTACTTTTAAGCTGCTGTGTAACTGCATGTTTACTTCTTTCAGTGTTTTTGCATGTTGTAGTTGGAGCCACATGAGGCTGAACTTCTCTATCTGACCCTCAGGCTACTTAGGGAACAAAGCAGATACTTAAAACTGCGTATCTCAGTAACTCCAGGCAGTATTCTTACTCATTAACGCTGCAATGTGTACTCATTGATTTGTTGAAGATAAAAAACTGAAAGCATGATTTCATCCTCAAAGTACGTCATAGATTAAAGTAGATAATTCAATACACTGACAAGATTAACAGAACAGTCGCCCCAAAAAAGGCATCTTTTATTTTCAGACAAGTGGAACATCAGGTACATCAGAGAGGAGATCTTGTGTTTGAAACAATAACAGTAACTTTAAAAAAAATAGTCCTGGATCCAAAAAATACAATAGACAGTTTTAACAAATGTTAGATTTTTCAGAACATTCATGTGTTTTTCTGGCAGCTAATGTCGGCACTTGTTTCAAAATAAAGAGAAGACTGAAAAGGCTGACCTTCACAAAAAGCACAATCTTTTATGGTCGAACAGATTCCCTTACAGTTTGGAAACTATGATGATGTATAACAGCATGTATGCGTGCACAGCTTAAGGAAAAAGGCAAAAGTATGTTTGAGTACAACAGTTTGCTGATTTTGCCAAAATACCATTAGGGCAGACAAACAAATTAGTCAATCTCCATATCGTATTTAAGCCTTTCTCTGTCATTTTATATTGCAATGTACCATGTCACACCCTATCATATCACATAGTATCATCCAGTAACATTCTATATCACATGACAGTGATATTGTATGGGACCCGACCAATTTATTGGCAAGCTGATTAAATCGGCCAATGTTATCCCGTTTGAGGCTAATCGGTAATCGGCCAAAACTCGCCAATTTTCACCGATATTTTCAGAAATAAAATACGGAGAATAAGATTCGGTTTCACTTCGAAAATGTTCCGTCATTTGAAAAGTTCACCAACTTATCCTGTAGATGGCACATATAAATATAGATTTTTTTATAACTTTATAAAAAAATTTAAAAATCGTCAGATTAATCGGATTTTTTGCCCTCTAATTATCGGCATTGGCATCGGCCCCAAAAACTCCATATCGGTTGGGCCCTAATATCGTATCACATTATACTGGCCAAGTAAAATAATGATTGTTGGACTGTAAGCTATAACACCTATTTGTTTGATAAGGTACAGGAGTAGCTGTGTTGTTAATATGAATGATTCTTTTGTTTACTGTAATTCCAACTATCACCCAACACCACCTGCTTCTCCATTTCAAGGTCTAAATGTCTTTCCTCTTCTACTCAGCCATAACCAGGGCTCAAAACTCACTTTTTCTTACTCAGCCAACCAGTCTTGATCCTGTTAAAATTCTGTCTCAGACCCTGAACTTCAGTCCACTTTTGCATTATCAATTACAACCATGCATCAATCCGAGGTTTTGATGCTGGGAACAGTGTTCAGTCAGTGCTGAAAGCATACTAATTTGTCTAGATGAAAAGATGAAAAAACAATTTCTGTTGCCATGGCTATTTTCAAAGACGACGGCCGTAAACAAGTCTGTAAAGATCTGACAGCCTGTTGATGTGGATTTAAAAGGGGGTTTTCAGAAACCACATTCAGTCAATAAATATTACAACTACTTGTTATTTATTGGTGGTCTCGAGAAAGTGGGCAAACAAATGCAACAAAAAACTATCGGACATCATATGACTGTGTGCCAATAATGCAATTAAATCTTGTCTTATATCAGCAGAATCCACATTTTCAGATTTTGGCCTCAACAGTAAATGCAGCAACGTGTTGATCTGAGTTCAAATGTATTATTTTCCTGTCATGTGCCTCAGCCCTCCTCACACCATCTGTTATCTGTCTTAAATGTCAGCCTTAGTAAAGATGCCCGACGAAACAAAGAGGGAGGGCTATATAAAATCGACATCCAAACAATCATGGCTTCCCCGCAGCAGTGAGAGGGACCAAGGCTCGATGGCTGCTACGGTTTCTGCGGAAACAAGGGAGGACTCGGAGAGGAGAGTCATGTGACCAGTCACCTCGCTCCCATTGGAAAGGTCAGCGCTATAATTACACACATCAGCGGAAAAGTCGGGGACTCTGAGAGTGAAGCCTGCTCTGCTCATCTGCAGCAGCACCAGCACAGAGCGCAGCCAAAAACTTCCCAGGCTGCAGTTTGTATTCCAAACTTCCAGAGCCTGAATAATCATTAGTTTCCGTCACTGCGGGGACAATGGAAACTCGCTCTTGTTTCTCATGGCGGAGGAATGCAGTGAAAGCAGAAAGGAGCCAGAGATCCTGCACAGTTACTACACTATTCCAAACTTTTATGCACATGCAGGATTGAATTAAAGCGCAGGTAGAAGAGGAAGTCGAAGGACACATTGTACTGCCGTTCACAGGACGTAGTACTCCCAGCTTGGGACTCAATGGTTTCCAGATGTGGCTGGAGCCCTTAGTATGCCATGCCCACTTGAAAAAAAGTGCTACTGCCAGGTCTTAAAGTCCAAGTGTGCAATGTGGTTACCTGCTATGATTCCATCCATTTGCTCCAAGGCTGCTGCCAACATCTCGCTGGCGTCGGCCATCATCTTCAGCTCAATGAATCTAAAAGAGAAAAGAAGAAGAGTTTTTTGAGAAAGAGAGGAGCAGGATCCATAAAACTTTCTGCCAAAACTAAGTCATTAATGAAAAACAGTCTGCTTTACATTCAAACTCTATACGCACTGGGGTTCCCTGAAATTTACAGTGGGAAGTAAGATAAGAATCTAAGTTCTTATAGTGTTTTACCAAGTGTCACACATCCCTTTGGAGAAGTAGCCATTCTCCAAAGGGATTAAGAGTTGAATATAAATGTGGGGATCATGTACATTTGACAATCTGCAGTTGATTGTTTTGGACAAATGTGCAAAACTCCATCTGCTTCAGGTTAAGTGAGAGGATAAAAAGCTCCAAATGTACTTGTAATAAGATTACTTTGTCAGCCATTCAAATCAAATTTCATAAAACCATGAACAACAGCAACTCACTCAAAGAAATGTCACCTATGCCCACTTACTGAATAAGAAATCTTGTGATATTTATTTAGAAATTCAGCGGTTGCTCATGATTAGACTGGCTCTGTTTTTGGCTGCAGATAATAGAATTCATAACTCATTTCCCTTCAAATCTTTGGTCAAATGTTTTCAAATTATGGTATTAGAGGAAAGTGGAATAAAAGGGGAGGGTTATTTTTGAACCAGTCATGCTGCATGAAAACAAGTATATTTCAAATCTCTTCAAAGACTCAACAGTAACAAGTCTGTGTCTGTCACACCATATTTTTGTGCAAGTAATGTCCAAACAAGTAATGAACTGACAAGTATTTCTGGTGCCAGCTAGCAAGGGTTCGAGGTTTTATTGTCTGCTCGTCTAATCATGCAAATCTCCAGTTACTGTTGCTTTCATTAAATGGAAATTTACAAATAATCCTTTTATAAACATGAATTAATTGCTGTTATTATGGTAACTGGAGCAGCAACAGAAACTTAACCCCTACTTCAGAAGCAAGTTATGTTACTTTCTTCTCCACCATTGTGCTCGATAAAGTTGTTATTCATGGTCCCACACCTTCTTGATTCTGATTGGTCAGTTGAGCGGGAATGACGTCATATCTGAGTCACCAGCATTTCAGTTACCAAGTCGGGAAAAAGCAAAATTAGAGGCGGAAACAAGATGGCTACATCTACGAAGGCTATTTTAGCGCTTGCCTTGTCCTTGCTTATATTCGAACAAGGCAAGCGCTAAAATCTTATTTCCGCCTCTGATTTTGCTTTTTTTCCACTCACACTGGTAACCCAGATGTGATGTCATTCCCACTTCGGACTTCTGACTTCCGAGGTAACTCAAACGCAGCATTAAAGTTGACTTTTATTGAATTTAAGAGTGTCGTGAGTAAATAAATGCTATAGTGTATTGGAATTTTCTATGAGTGGACACACGCCCTTTTTTTTAAATCAATAAAATAACCAACATACCAACAGAAATTGAATTTGTATCGCTTAGAGAGTATATTGGCCCCTGTACATAATCAGTTCCTGACTTCAAAGCCTACTGCATGTTTTACATTTCTCCTTTGAAACGAACAAATGTGTAAATCGGTAATCCTGTAGTAGAACAAGCTTTCATTCTCCCTTTACAAATGACTCCTGCATCAAATTAACCCTGCAGACTGTCCCTCAGAAAAACCGACTGTTTGTCAGACAAACAACAAAGTGACCTACTGGAATTATTACTCAGAAAGCCTTGTTTCCGGCAGTCTGGGCAGCAGTCACGGGTGCTCATTGGGAGGCTTCAATCTGGAATAATGGTACTATTCTCCCAGGGGTTTCAGGCCTCGTAATGTCGGCATGCTTGGCATCTCAAACTTCCATAACAAAGTTGGGACAGTATCCCCCATGACTGCTGAATTCAAACACCTATCACATGTCCTTTTTCACACTCACTGATTGCCCATCACTTCACACAGAGGGAGGTTTAAAGGGGTTTAGCTCGTGTGAAGTAAGTGTATAGAGCCCCAAAAGCCCCAAACTAACAACACAAAAACAGTGACTGGATTTGTCCATATGTATGGGGGCAGGGGCTGTAGAGTTTACTTCATTTCCTCCTTCTCTGGGGTCACAGTGTCACACCCAGCGTGGGCATTAAGAGTATAATTAAACCAATGGTCTCAATATGAGCTAGGGGGCCGGGGTCTGCTGTTAACACAAGGGGCCTTAAGAGCCTAATTTCAACAACACACTCTGGAGAAAGAGGGGTAAGTTTCTTCCAAAACAGCACACACACACACACACATACACACACACTGCTGTTTATTTGCCCTACTCTATAAACTTGACATTCAGGTTGATTAGGAGCAGAACTGTGGTGATGTAGGACCATTTCAGGTGATTTAAAGCAAGACAAACCAGGACTTTCAGTTTATATAAATACCAGGAAACATCTCAGATTTCAAATTAAAGCGACCTGCTTTCAAATCAAAACACATCTCCGATAACATCCAATTCTCTGCAGGTATTTCCATCCTTAAATGGAAAATCATCTCTCGCTCTCACCAGGGTGGAAACTCTATTTGGTCAGCTGTTTGGTTCACCCCATGGGAAAAATTAGAAGTGCCAAAATGAGGTGCTTTTTTGTTGGGAATCCAAATATTTTCACTACATGGGGGACTGCAGAATAAACAACAAATGGCGTGAAAGTCGAAACTATCGAGTGTAGTCCTCCAGTGAGGAGACCTCCAAGTATGTGTGTAAAAATAGAAGCATGAAGACTGTCTGACAGAAAAACTAAGCATATGAATTTGATTATTATGAGTTTCATAATAAATCCAATTCAGTAAAAAAAATATTTCCAGACAGATCCTTCAAAATACTGATCGGAGATATTTTCCAACCATTTCACATCAGTTAGAGACAAGTCCAAGAGGAACTTTCAGAGCAAATCTGAAGAGGAAAGTCCACAGATGAGTGTCTGTGTCTGCAGCCATGTGATGAAGAGCTTGTAATAATGATTGATAATGCCACAGTGAAGGAGTGAGCACCACACACATTCCTGAGCAGGTTATTTCACCCTGAAAGCAGCACTAACTGCCTGGTACTGACATCTCTGTTGACCTGTGTGACCTCCTCTCCCTCCACCCTTAAGACAACACCCTGAGACAAACTGAGACATCAGGCTGGTGGTATTTGTGCTGGTCAATTTATACTCTCAAAACAGCAAGATCAGATCATTAAAAAACAAATACAGTCACAATTTTCATTAACAGAATTAACATTGAGGAACACGAAGAACTGGTCCCAGATTAGGGACCGGTTCCTCACCAGTCCCATGCAGAACCGAATTGGTGTGCCAATATGACTAAAATGGTAGCATAAACTCGTATTGATTAATGACTTGGTTACAACTTTCTCAATCTCTGGATTCTTTTTTTTCCAGATGATACTGTCATATTTGTCACAGTTTGTCACAGTCTTGATGCACTGATACTGACTGACTTCAAGTTTTTCTAAACAAAGACCAAACCTTCTTAAAATCTGTCTTGGTTTTTCTATTTCTGTGAGGTGGTTTTAACATCATCCAGATGGAGGGGTGAGGGGGTTGGGGGGTGACGAGAATGTATTTGCAGAGGAAAATAGTATGGGATTATTTGACCTTATGCTGAGTGGTGGGCTTTCAAAACAAACACACATGCGCACGCACACACACACACACACACACACACACACACAAACACACACATTTCTAAGAACACATCTCTGCTGGTGCCTCAAATGCTTGTGCTCCAATAGCCCACTCCCAGCTGCGGTACAGATGTGCATTTCAGAATCACTGCCTCACTATAGAAGCAGCATTCATTTTTGCAGCACAAAGACATGAGACGTTGAAGCTCCTCAATCATAGAACCTTATACTTCCAATCAATGAAATGTAAACTAATGCTGAGATTTTGAAATTATGCTGAATTTTTTAAAAATGTAATAACTTCAGATCACTTGCTTTCCAACGAAGACTATCCTTGCTGAGTGTTTGGGATTGTATACCTTCAGGGAGCTGGTCTGGTCCAGCCATTAAAGACAGGTCTTTACCAACTCTGCACTCTCACATTTCCTGTCTCTCTCCTACACAAATAAAGGAGAAAAAAGGCTCCTAAAATAACTTAAAGGAATAAATCTGATACATTTCCGTCTATGTTGTCTGCTTGGATGTTTACAAAGGTGTCCCACAAGGCTCAATACTGGAGCCTTTTCCATTTTCACGTGTTTCCATGTTCATATTGTCAAATTCTGTCATAGCCTTTTGCTTTTTAAAAGTGCCAAGAATATTCCATTAGAGTGCCATTTCTTTATCTCAGAATTATTTTTACATCAAATAGTTCAGTGTATTACTATGTGAAAACAAACTTCTGTTTCTCTGTATCATAATCTGCACTCTGTTTTTCACCCAGGGTATCAGCTTTTTTCCCTGAACACTGCTCTTGCTTTTCTTTCCACGATTTCAATGATTTAATGCGCCTCAGTCTACAAAATTTGATTTGGTATCAGATCATTTATCAGGACACAACCCCATAAACTTGGAACTACAACAATGTGCTTTTGTCGTGGCAAAATATTGGATCTAAAAGGCGTCTGACTACAGATGGCATTTGATACCTCTCTCAAGACAGCTGTGGAAAAGTTATTGAGTAAAATAAGTTATCAAAGTCAGATTTTATTGCTGGATCCTAAATGCCATGCCAATGCACTATGCTTAATTCAAAACGATCCCTACTCAGTTGTGAAGATATCACTCATCCCCAACTGGATTTACAGCCAATAACAATGGCACTCATAGCAGCATAACTTTGTTTAGAAAGCTCATTCCACTCTCAGACACCCGGGCTTTTATTGCGAGGGATATTTTGATCCCAATAACAACTAATTATAATTTTTTTGTTAGAAAAACGTATATAACTTACCTGCCTCTGGGTTTAACAGGATAGTGATATGAGTGGCAGTAGTTATAAGGAATAGAGATGATGAATAAAGGATTATATCAACAGCTGTATCTCGATAAGGTTTGCAACCAACAAATCATTTTATTGTTAAAAGACACCACAATCTCGAATTTCCATGTTATGTTAATATTACTGAAGTTTTTTTTTGTCTAATCAACAGTCCATAAGCTAATACAGTGGTTCTCAAGTCCAGTCCTCGAGCCCCCCCGTCCTGCATGTTTTAGATGTTTCCCTGCTCCAACACACCTGATTCAAATGATCAGCTCGTTATTAAGCCATTTCAGAGCTTGATAACGAGCTGATCATTTGAATCAGGTGTGTTGGAGCAGGGACACATCCAAAACATGCAGGACAGGGGGGCTCGAGGACTGGACTTGAGAACCACTGACCTAACAGAACCTTATTTTCTGATATAACACACAAAAAAATCAATAGCTATTTATCGACAGCATCAGTATCAGCCATTATCAACACTGACTATTGGTAATTAAGCTAATGCGCCATGAACCAGTGCTTATAGATGCTGTATCTGTGTTGTGCCGAATCATTTCAATGCTGGCAAGCCAGTACACCCAATTGTTGGTTAACAGGGAAGGCTTGAAACTGGAAGAAGTCATCTTTCAACCAAACTCTCCTTCTGTTTTTTATGAAAAAATATCAACAGTGTGGGAGTCCAGGGTGATCCAGTGTGACTAATTTCCAAGTTGATTAAAAATAAAATGAAGTTTACAGGTAAGAAGACACTCAGACAACAGTCACATGGTATTCACACAATATATAACACAGCTAAATGCGGCTAAAGTTGACATAGCCCACTTAACAAATTCATCTGTTTTTTAGATCATAATGTAAAAACATTATATTCCATCACTCATTTAAAAAACAGACTTTGAAAAAGTAAATGCATGGGTATCAGTTTAAGAGTTATTTCAAGTGGTGTTGTGATTTGTCCTGATTTTCACAAACAATCTTCCTACACTGAAAATAGCTGGAAAATCACTTAAAACAACAACTAAGATTTGAAAGGAGTTGAAATAATTGTTTTCTCCAGGTTCACTTCGCTCAGCAGTTGTAGTTACAGCAGTATTTTAAAGAGACAACGTGGACACAAAGCATGACATGGCCCTGTGGAAGTCGGTCCCACATAAAATCCAACCACCAGTGAAACACCCTGCCTTTGTTTACATTTCCCCCTCAGAGATGGTCCAATGGACTTTCAGTCTGTGCCGCTGTGAGGGCAGACTGTTTGACAGGAACGAAAGGCCAGACTTTAAACTACCACTTCATTTATACACAAACAACTCTTTGTCTCTCTGAGACTCTCACATGATAGCACTGCAACACTGAACCATAGCTTTTGCAGTTTTTTCCACAAGCTACATCACAGTGGAGGAGGGGAAAATGAAAGAGGACTGGAAAAGAGGCAAGAGGAACTGAGTAAGAGACAGCACGGCAAGAAAAGCTGCCTCTTGTTGCTTTTCTTATCAAGGTTGTTGCACAAAAGCAGCTTTTTCGGTGTCTTTTACCGGCAAACATTTACAGCTACTGCTTCAAAATGAAACCACAAGAGTAAAAAATGCTGAGGACAAAGAGTTGTACAGCACTTCAGCTGACGAGAATGAATGAAACCATAAACAGACTTGAGACAGAGGCATCCCTACTCTCAGGAAGACCTTCAGTCAGTCCTGTCAGGAAGCGTTTCCTGGCACATTCGGGAGAAATGTCTTCCTCTTACTCAGAAATTGCCAGCACTGAATGCAAAAACAAGAGCTACAGCTGAAAACCCACAAGCCACTCACAGCACAGCTCATATTTCAAACTGGGTCTTGAATTATATTCCTGTGTGTGGAATGTTTCAGATTAAGATTTTAATTGAATTTCTGGAGCGTGTATGTAAACATCTCCATATCTCATGTGACCCAAAACACCCCCCCCCCCTTCCTTTGCACCAGCACAAGAGTACTGTATCAAGAATGCAAGGAATGCTCATGTCAAGGAGGAAAGGTGGCTGAGATGGAGAGGCGTCTGTTGAGTTTTGACACGTCAAGAGAGATTTTAAAAGTCTGTGTAATGTTATTCTGACTTCAGGCTATGTTACAGCTAACACAAACTCAGCCCATTAATGGACTTTGTCTTCTCTTACCTCACTGAGGTACAAAAAAATGCCTGTTGCCTGAGGAAATTAACTGATTAGTGCCACCAGATTTATTTATTCCACTGTTTAAAAATCCTTCAACATGGTGGGAGTGTGATTTACTCTGCTTGCTCTCCCACTGTAACCTTAGATACGGCTGTGCAAGCGAGTGTGCAGTAGCATGGATCTTCAGAGCAGCCAACCATTAGCAGTGAGAGCTCAGCTGGACACAAATATGGTTATAGTCAGAGGAGGGAGAGAAATCCTTTGTTTTGATTTGTCTCCCCTGAAGTTAAGAAGACATCATCGTATGCGCACAGAGTTTAAGGCTGCCAGCAGGTCATGCAGCACCTTAGGAGGAGTTTTTTTTTTTTTCCTGAATAACTGTTCACTGCAGCGGTTTACCCAAACAAAGCCTGCACAAGTCTGAGAGTGATAATGAAAGGAGCTGACAGTGGACCAGAGGCAGATTTAAACTGCTGGTTTTGTGTTGGCAGCTACCGCCTAAGCTGGTGGAAGTCAAACTGAGTCTGACTGGAGGCTCACCACAATGAATCATGATTTGGCTTTTGGATTAATGGACATGTGATGTACAAATTAGCTCCCTTAAATTACATACAAAGCTGGCATAATTTATCTTCCTTGAAACCACGATGCAGGATTGCACAGTAAACTCCAACAGAAAGTCTGATCTGATATATACATCAATGTGAAAATGCAATGCTTTCTCTTTCAATATAGGTACATTTAAAGCTTCTATAAGGAGTTTTTCAACATTTATAAAACAGACCGAAATCCATATCAATGGTTTTTTCCTGGTATACGCAAACAAGACCATCTGTTATATGACTGATGACTTTTATAATGTAAACTTTAGTGCCAGAATCTATTAAGATGGACAAAACTATGCATAATAAGGCTTTGACTTACTCTAAACACATTCGTCTGTTCTAGACTGGCATGAAAATTTTTTGTTGTGGATTTGACAAGCTCTCAAATACGTCTCACTATGCTGTCTTATTATGTTCCCTGAAAAAGTACAAGATAAAGATAACTTTTTTGTTTACTGAGCTTTGGACACACTAAATAATGGGTGTGATTTAATCCAGAATAAAACAGGCAGGTTTTTATTTTGGCTTTAATTCTTACAGGTACAGTAAGGATTGAGAAGGGGTATGAATCTGGATAGGACTAAGAGTTAAGAAGAAAACCACCAACTGCAATTGCTCCCAGATTTTGCCCATTAGAGATGACTTCTGTGGGTAATTTTTTTTTTTTGAACAATTCATTCAATAAAGTCGAATATAATCTTATTCTGAAGAGAAATATTACTTAACTGATACTATAGTTTTTTTGTTTTTAACCTTAAGTTTTAACAAAGTCCTGAGCTCCAGGAGTTAGCCTGTAAAGAGCCTTACAGAAAAATAAACTAAAACAAAAAATAAATAAAAGTGCCAAGGTTAAGACAGTCTCTAGAGTCCTTTCAAACCAATGCAAGGATAAATAGAGAGAAATACTGTAATAGTACATCAGACAAGGATCTCTTTATCTGACTAATTCGCATTTCCTCTTTAGTTACCAGAGAAAATGTAATGTTTGGTGTCATTACTGGGAAAAGGGAGCTCAAAAATCCCTCAGTAAACCTTCGTTTTTAACAATAAGAGGTCTTATAAAAGGTTAAGATCCTGCGTCTCAAACAGACAGTCTATGGTCTCAATGTTCAGTCAATCGACGCTCAGCCAGAAAAAAAAACCCGTTAATACAAACTCAGTTTCCTAAAACTCATTTAAAGTTGGTTCAACTTACAACTGTCGACCAGGAAACGTTCAAAGATGGTCCTGCCGTCTCCAGAGGCTTTACTCCTTAAAAGTTTTCCGTCTCACAGGAGAGTCATGGTTCGCGTTCACCTTCCCATTGAGTTTCTGTGAGATCTCAACTTTTCATCCCAAACTTCAGACATTTCTAGCGGCGGCAAGTTTACTAAACAACATGGACGTTTCCGGAAGAGGTACCTTCAAAATAAAAGAGTAAACCATAAGTAGAGTGACATAGCTGTGATAAATAAGAACGTTAGTGTTTGTTTTATTTCCCTATATTTGTTTGTAGTGTAGCTTTAAAGCTCCGAATTATAGCTAACTTTGAATTATTGTAATCTGAACACGAAAAGACACTTTCATCTGACGGTTTATGCTAATACCTAAAGCTTTAAATATACAAACTTCTAAAGTACAATAAGGATCCTAAAAACAAATTCAATGTATAGCATTTGCTGTTTTCATTCTGTAATTTTTCTAACAGATCGTAACTACTTGAGTATGAAAATGCTGTCTTATACAGAATAAAAAATACGATTTTTTCACACTATTAACGAGTAAAATCTTGCTTTATAAGACATTTGACAGAGAAAAATACAATCCTAATTCTTACAAATGTTAATCATCATAATAAAATGATTTAAAGTATTTAGTATTTTTCACGGTCTATTTTAATGCCTTCAATCTGTGTCTAAATTACTTTGTGCAGACTTCACTTTATTAACATACTAAGTGCCAGACAGTACCCTACTTCAGCCATAGTTACTCTGTCTCACGGAACAAAGTCTGCATTAATTTGAAAGAACTGATCGGAAACAATTTGGGATTAAACTATTCACATTGCGCATGCGTTGTACCACTGTACTGTATGAGAGAGGTCATGTTCTCCGTTTATGTCAACGTTTTTTTTTCGGAAAAATAGTTTGCTAAAGTTATAATCCATTTAATACAGCAAAATGAACCTTATATGGAGAAGTTTTAATTGGATATAATTATATGGCATTTATCATGCTAAATAAGAGATAATGGGAACCTCTGCTGGTGGCATCAAACATGCTCCATTTGGAGAAAGCACCAGATGTAGAGTTTCTTGCTTCATGCTTTAAGTAAAATATAAAAATATTGGGAAAACTAATAAAAATAAAAGTTTACCCATTTCTCATTGATTATAGCTACCCTATCTGGTATGAAACTCTAAGTCACATAAACACCATCTTAAAGTGGGCTGGAGGTCTGAATACAAAGATTAGCCTACATGGTCAGTAAAGCCACTAAACCTGAAAGCATCAAGGTAATATTGAATGTAACAACACTTTGTATCATATTGCTAAATAGCTTTGTTGTCTCTCTCTATCTGACACTTCTCCCGTTTCATCATCTAAACAGCAGTATACAGTGAAAAAAGTTTGATGACAGCGAGATATTTAAAAAGGGTAGGACATAATATGTTTATCATAATGTGGCACCACCACTTTTTTAGAAACATCTTTAAACATTTGGGAATCCACACTAGTTCCTGGAGTTGAATATAGCTCCATCATTGCCTGACATTGGATTTAAGCAACGCAAGTTTCACAATTCAACCATCTTTAATAGGCTGAGGTCCAGAGCAGCTGTCAGCCTCTCTAGATCATATTTATGCACGGTTTCCTCTTTGCATGGAACAGTTTGAAGATGCATCAAACTTAACCCTGGTGTTTGAGAGCATTTTTAAGCCCATGCAGTGATCCCCTCTTCAGAGACATGTCTTTTTCCGTATTAATGCAGCACCACTTATTGGCCATATCCCCATGCGGTAATGGTTTTTAGCTTTGCTTCTTTTGTCCAGTCACTGTGAAGTACTTCTGATGAAATCCACACCTTTGCGACACTGCTTAGATTGTTACAGTTTGCATACGTAGTCTCCCACGGAGGTTTAAATGATTCACAAACCATCAAAATCAACTGCGGATTTAACTTTTTATCCAACTAGACTGTGAGGAGTTTAAATGCAACAAGACTTTTTACTGAGAAAAAAAAACTAGCTATGAAAACCATAATAAAAGGATTAAATAAAACAAGGTTGTTCAAGAGAGGGCAGCTCTGTGGGTGAGGGAGTGTGTGGCAAGTGGGTGTGTTGGAGCAAACTGGCAGCAAATTACAACTCACAAGGTGCAAATTAAACATCTTCTGCTCAGTAATAAAGGTCAAAACCATTTTCACTTGTTTGAAAGATCACCCATTGTTTGCCTCCTGACAAATACTGCCTTTCTCCCTCTATTTCCAGCAGTCCAAGCTTGAAACAGACTCTTCAGCCAGCAGGGGGAGTCAGAGATGTTCTCACGGTGGAGAAGCTTTGACTTTGATAGTGCAACAGGTGCATGTTTCTGAAGACATGATGTAACAGGCTGCACATGGAGCAGAACAAATTCAGGAAATTTGTCTCCCTGGCTGAAGTTTGAAGACAACAAAGTGCTTGATGATATTTGATTTGGTAACAGGATAAAATCAGTGTCTGACTGAGAAATGGATGAGGTATAGTAAGATGCTTACATAATTGTCAGCCTTACAGAAACCTTTACAGAGCAGACGTCTGTGTCCTTGAAAACAGCTCAAGTGTAATTCTATTTCATATATATTTCCCTGACTGTGCTTGAAGATCAATATGTTGCATATACTGTATCTACAAAGGCTGAACTCTGGGGACTGTCAGCGGAGGTATAATTCTGCTGCTAAAGAGCATCTTGTTTGCAGTGAATGGCTGTACCTAGGCACAGAACTGACAAAGAGGATAGACAAAGGTTATGCAACTGCTTTTTTCATTATCTAATTCCCAAAAAAGCTTGAAAATATAAACATTTTTGATGCACATATCTGATATTTTCTCTTTTGAAATCTGCTGCTTTGTTTCTACTTGCGCTGATATTCCTCTGGGTGCTCTATCCTTTGAATGCCATGAGGAAAAAGGGACAGACCTGCGGAATCTCACATTCACAGCAGAAACAATTAACCTTGCAATGCATATAATTACAAGTCATAATACCTTATGGCATCTTATATAAGCCAATCTGACCTTGCAAGTCAAATTACAAACCTTATTTAGAGATGTTATCAGACAAAAGTACTTAACTGATTGCAAAGAGTAATAATGGAAAAGATTCATGGCCAGAGATAGGGAAAAATGAGAGGGAGTAAGATAGTTGAAATTCAGAGTGTATAAAGGAAAAACAATCTTGTGATTAAAGTCTAAATATCAAGAAAAAAGTTTGATTACAGTTCTGCGAACAAGGGCGAAATGTTAAGAACAAAGTCAGAATTTAAATTTCCTGTGAGGAGTTTTTTTAATATCCAAGAAATAGACTTAAAATTCTTATTGATGCTTTTTGATGATATCCAAATGTAAATAAGACCATCAATTGCAAGACTGATAAGTTTTTTGCTGTGATTTTGAATGCCTGAATATTGAGCCAGTGGGGAGGTGTCCTTTGAGAGACTATGTTATTACAATTTCTGCATCAATATTCATTATAAAAGATACATTTGACTATCAAATCTCAAAATAATGAGCTTGTGATTGAGCATAAAGGGCATTAGCAAAAACAGCTTTGACCACAGGGGGCGCCAAAATTAACAGAAACATTAAGTTGCCTCCTGAAGCTGTAACTCAAGAATAAAGTAAATGGTTGTGCCTACTGGCTTTAATAAAACATTTGCAGTGTAGCGGCCTTGGTAGCTTTTTTTAATACATTGTATATGCCAGTGTGTCTAGTAACATATTAATGTAACCTGCTCTCACATGTGACTCTCATCAGAGGTATTCCTCTGAGTCTCAGTCCCAGAGGAGACGTCCCTGTGCGCCTCTTCATATAACACTCACAGCAGTAAAGGCAATCAGTAACTATTACAACCTCCTTCAAGCTTTTATGATTTTCAAGTTCAGCACTTGAAATCCTGAACATTGTCTGAGGTCGACAGGAGTTTTGACACATACTCTAAACATCTCAAGAGAGATTATGTAACTGGAAAGCTTTAACTCAGCAGTCACCTGTCATTCTAGCTTCTTGAAGTGTTTTCCCCATCAAGAAAAACCTCCAGGGACTATATCCCAAAGCGTCCCATCATGCAGTGGGGTGATTTTAGTGGCCATGGCAACCTAGTTGCTTGGAAGTACCTCTACACCCCTGTAACAATTTTTAATTTCTCAGCATGATAAGAAGAGTAGAAACAACTCCAAACCAGCGAGGCTGACTGAATGTCAAGTTGTTTTGGGGGTGGCTCCTGGCAGAGGTCAGGGGCTGTCGGCACACATAAATGGAGATGGAGGCACTCAGGTTACAGAAATATCCAACAGGGCAAACAGAAATGCAAACATCATTTCTGAGTCAACAACTAGTTTCAAAACCACATCGAAACTTCTACATCCGGGGTTTTAAGACCTTCAAGTGGGATCTTTTCTCTCTAACTGCACCACTACTTTCTGTGCTAACCATAGACTGTATAAAGAATGGACAGAATCTGCCTCCTCGCTGGGTGAAGCCACTCCGAGAACAGCACCCTCTGTTGATGGGCTGCAGTATAGGTCATAAATCCCACCTCCGCCAGCAAAGCTTATGGGGCTGTGGACAATTTTTAGAAATTTATTACACAGAACATAATTTTTTCTCCCCCCTGCTTGTGATGTTGACATGTAGTTACTGTCAGACTGGTTTGTGCTCAAGTGCTCTTTTTTCTGTGAATCTCCGTTTTTAAAAGTTATTAGGGGGTTCATGTTTTCTATGATTGACACCTGATACAGCCTATTGGCGTTCAGGGATTGCGTAGCTCACCCGGAGGATACGCTGTTTGAGCCGAGTGTCATCACAGTTACTCTTGGCGACCAGCGCTGGTTTCAGGAAATGAAGAAAAGTCCAGGAAATACCGAAAGCTTTTTGGCTTCAAATCCTTATATAGGCGGAACCAAGTTGTCCATAGTATATACAGTCTATGGTGCTAACACTGCAGGATAATATCTCTAGTCTATAGTACAAATTACGCAACCATACTTACCGACAAACGCTTCTTATAATTACAGCATTTTCTCCATGAAGATATTGTTGGGTTTATGTGAAGTACACTTTAAAGCTCATTATCAGGATCACACTAAGAGGAAGTAAGTGCGTTAGAAAAAAGTGTTTTATAGAGCATTT